GGGTGTGCCCAAGTATTGATCCTCCTGCAAGTACTAAGGCTGTCCTCCATAACGGAGGTGAAAACGGTGCCCATCAACATCATTCCTACGAATGCCCCCTACATGTATGCACCAAAGGATCTTGACCACGACCAGCAGGGTGTCACGATGTGAGTCCCCAAACTAGATCCACCGCGAGCGAGACATGGATCGGAAATAACACGCGAAATGCATAGACGCTCGTAGTGATGAAGGGCCGGTGCATGTAGGAGTCATAATAATCGGCACCTGTATGTACTTGAATCATCTTGATGCTGCCGTTGATCCTAGTGTAAGTGACCTAGCCAGGTTTGAACTCTTCGGAGCTCAAGTCCACCTCGCCCTCACTGACTTTCTTCCTCAAACAACACCTTCTCCTCCAAATCTTAGATCCATTGCCATCTTCTCCCACCATCGTCTTCGAATCCCTTGGCAACAGCCATCCACACCATGTCTCACAACAACGACCCCATGCAGAAGACTTCGTTCGATGTCAGTGAGGACGGATCTGGCATGACTCTACTACACGAACACATGAAAGACTCGTTGATGGCGTCTCGGCGCCCGAGGGCTACAAGCTGGCTCCTGAGAATTGTTCTTGGGGCAGTTGCTCTGGTCTGCAGCATCTCCATCATTTACACGGCCGTGGGCGTACACCGGCTCTCCACCGTGGCTACGGTTGAATATGGTGACTGTGGCCAGACCGAGACGGTCGAGGAAGCCCGCGCGCTGGGCTGCGTGTTCGATCCCATGAGCTGGATCTGGGTGCGCCCCGAATGCTACGATGGCGAGCTGATCGCCGAGTTCTTCAGCCAAACCAACTTCTCGTGGCATACCGAGCCCAAGCTCAAACCCGAGACCAAGTTGAGCATGGACATCATTCACCGTGGTGACCACCCCAAGTTGTTCACGCAGAAGGATTACCACACCGTCCACTGCTTTGTAAGTTGTCTTTCTGATGCATGGACCTGTCAACGATTCTGTTTCTAATTGGCCACCTCACACACAGTATATGATGAAGAAGATGCACAAAGCAATTCTTGAGCATCGGCCTATTGACAGCTACCTAACCGAATGGCACCACACAAACCACTGTGGGCAGGTCATGCTCAACGACATCATGCACCAGGACACGGACTGCGCTGCGCCAAAGATCTGCCCGACCTGGGTCAGAGCAACCTGGACCGCTTGCCGACGATATTAGAGCTTCCAGGTTGTCTTGGGTGCCTGACGCAGGATTTGGACTTGGCCCGGGGAGATAGACTGGAACTTGACTACATAGGTACCTACATCATGTACTAGTAGCGTTAGGCACTATGAGTGCTCTGCATACAGTACATGTAAGTAGGTATTTTAGTCGTTTGTGTGAAGTGAACCATTATCAAGATGGGGCCAGGAGGGATTGACTCCCCGACCACCAGTTCATGCCTCAGGTGATTGATGTTTGGGTTTGCTAAATCACCTGTACCCAGGTAGGTAGGTATCTTATTCTCGACTGCACCAGATCGCCAACGTCAAGCCCTGCAAGTCAACTCCTCATCCCCCCTTAGAGCCTCCAAAGAGGGTCATACCACTGAAACAAATCCACAAAACTCTCCAACATGTCACTTTTCGAACGTTTCAGATGCGGCTTCGCTATCCCCAAGGCAGTGATGTTAGCTACAGGCCCTTCTTCGAGGCAAGGCATCCAGGTCTCCACAGGAGTTCCCAATTTCGCCTATCTCTGTTCCGCTTGTAACTTGTTCGCACCTCCTCCTGCACCTAACGAGAAGCTCAAGACTCGAACAGAGCCCGAGTGGACCGCCAGGTGAACTGGTGTATTGTTGTGTTTGTCCTTGAGATGCATATCGCACTCGCCCTTGCCGGTCTGTAGATGCCGCGAGAGCACGTAAAGCATTTCCTTGGACCCTGACTGCGATGGATGTCTTAACACATCCCCCCTCCTCTCACGGGAAATCTTGAAACCAGAGTACTAGTAGTACTATCCAAGCTACCTACGTACCTAAACAGTGGAAGGAACAATGTCCTTGAGAAATCCGTACCGCCAACCAACAAAAGCCACAAATGCAACCACCAGAGTAAATACGAGAGCCGAGCCAATTCTGGGTCCGCTCTGGGAGACTAGCACCATCTCTTCTACATCTTCGTCATCACCATCAAGAGCCCCCACGTATTCCTCCATACCATCCCGATCAGCAAGAATCAGTGAAACCTCGCCGGCATTCTCAGCCCCGATATAGTCAAACGCCTCTATTCTCGCCCGCCGGAGAAGTCGTCGTCTTTCCGTCACCGATTGGGGCCCACCAAGTCCAAAGAAAAGCTCATCTGACTTGACGTCGACCTTTGCAGCGCCCTTCCCGGGGATGCTATACTGCAAAATGTGCGCCAACGCAACAATACGCACATGGTCCTCCGACATGTTGTAGTTGGGAAAGAAACGCTCCAGTAGGACCCTCTCGTCAGGAGTGACAAGGCCCAATAAGCCAAATATCTTGTCACGAGTGTTAGTGCATTCCGCTCGGTAGTGGCTTATAAGCAGGTCGTAGAGCGGCTGTTGGATCTCGGGGTGCTTGTCGACGTGTCTTGCCATGACCAGCGGCAGGGCACGGAACGCAGCAGTGGCTTGATTGGCGGGATGACCGGGGGTGCTAAAGCTGGCATCATACATGTGCTCGGAAATGCCAGCCGCCATGCAGAGACGAAATTGGAAGTCTGCCCAGTGTACCTTGGAGTTGCCGCAGTACAAGAAAATGTCCTGGCCGAGTAGGAATTCCTGGATTACCCAGACACGAGACCAGTATGGACGATTGGCGAGGTCGTCGAGATCATCGGACCAAGGACACGAGTCAACTTCAAGTGTCTTGATAGGCTGTAGGTGGTCTGGTATAACCATATGATAGGGGAGTCTGGGAAGGCCGAGCCAGACGGAAACGTGGGCTGCGCTTCGGTACGTCTCATCCATACGGCGGACTTGGGCGTTCTTCTCATCGTCGCTCCTCTGGTCGATGCAGATGGCGTCAACCCACAGTTTGAGTCCCAGGTTTCGTGCGTCCTGGCCGATATAATGAAGGCAGGACCAGAGGTTTGGCCTCACGTGGAATTTTTGGCCATTTAGATAAATTATCTCGGTTGCTTGGTCGTTACCCCAGGTATAAGAGACAGCAGTGTAGGCTGGCGCAGCGGCCCGGCGAACTTTAATGAGATCAAAATGCAGAAAAGTGTGCGTGATGGAGATCGGTTGCAGCAACCGAAGGTCTTCGGCGCCGGCAGTTGACGGATACGAGAAGTTCATGATTGACCATGAATAAGTTGAAAGGGTAGGAGATCCGGAGTCAGATCAGGCAGACATTTTATGATCTCGAGTTGCGGGGTTCTTGCAGGTCGTCCCTCATCATTGGATATGAACAGGACAAGTTGACTGGTCCCGGATTGATAGTAGCTGCATTATCCATCTCTCCCTATAGCTTCGTGTAACTAGGTGCCTATAGTCAAACCTGCAAGTAACGAATGGTCCTCCCGCCCACAGCCGATTGTTGGAATTACACAGTGAGGCACAAATCCAGTGCGTATTGCCCACTAGTGATGGGATTCTTGATTGTTGTCTTCCAGATTGACTGACCAATAGTGGTTCGGCCGCAACTTCTTGCTGAGATTCAGGGGCAGAGAGAAAATGGCATCGCTCTCACCGGGAACGTTGAGGTAAAGCACCTCTAGGAGCAGGGGTCTATTCATTGCCCCCGTAGCAAAGATGCGCTGCCCCCGATCCCACCTCTTCATCTATATCTCTGTATCAGGTCCTTGAGGTAAGTAACTACAGGTACTCAAGGATGAATAGGTACAACTACCTATCTTTGTCCACTATAACCATAGTATATTTCAGCGGTTATCCTAATTTTGGTTTGGAATGAGACGACCATTCTGGATCAAAGGTAAAGGATCAAAGGCACCGCTCGAAGTGATGGAGTCCTTGAGAGAGCACCCGGGGAAGTGCTTCCCACTCGACGTATTCGGCATAAAGGGACCGTGACTGGATGGGCTCGAGGGCAAGCATCGCCGGCCCTCGACCCTACCAATTTGCTTGTTTTGTTTGTATTGGCTGCCTTAGCCGTACCCACGTGCAGCCTTTGGGCGCACACATACATGTGGCGCATCGAGTCGAGGAAACGAATAACCCGCTTTGTCTCCTGGAAATTCATCCACCCATAGGTATGGCCCAAGCTATCCGTCTAGCTCCATGCCGTTGTCCTCGAGCGTCTATTTGCGGCACAGGTCCAGCATCTCAGCCCCGACTGCCCCTTCCGCCGCCCCGACTTCCCCCAACCCGACAAAGCAGAAAGACAACGGCTGGACTCACCCGTCTTTGACAGCCACCGGCAGGACTGCCGGATCCGGCACAGTGAAAAAGTGAAGACCAGGTCCATAGCGCGCAATACTGACCAAAGGATGATAGTGCCCGACTCGGGCATAGCGGTACTAGTATAACAATAAAGCAATTGGCCGCTGTGCGAATCGAATTGCCCTCTGCTCTCTCTTACAATCTTCTGCATCAACCATCCCATCTGCCAGGGGTTTCTTCGTATCCCTACTTCTGTGCCTGCTTGGATGTGCTGTCAAGTTGCAAAACCAGAACACTCCCGTCTATTATCGTCAGCAAAGCCAGTCGAGAAGGGAAAACAAAAGCTACACGCACCGCACCGCCATGGCTGCAAAATGCATGACCCTGCCTCCGAAACCCACGATTCCATACTATGCCCCGGCCGATGAGCTCCCCGCGCCTCTGCCAACGATCGACGAGATCCTCGCTTTGTGGTACGGCAAGGATACCCCCCTCGTCTCCTGCTGGCGAACGACCCCTGTTCTCCGCATCCGCGAGCACTTTGCTGTCAAACTCGGATCGAGGACGAGCGTGCAAGAGGGCCTCAACCAGCTCTTCGTGACGCAGGTGACCAATATCCCAGTACCCAAGGTCTACGCCATCATGGAGAAAGAGATTGACGGGGATGCTGTCTGTTTCATCGTCATGGAGTATATCGCTGGGAAAATCCTCGGCGACATCTGGAACGACATCGGGCCGGACAAGAAGCAAGAGATCACGACCAAGCTCTGCGGCTACATGAAGGAGCTGCGCAGCGTCCCTTCGCCGGGCTACTTCGGCTCCGCTTGGGAAGGGCGCTATATGGCCCGGGAGCTTTTAGACTTCCACATGCTCACACCGCATCCGGAGCCCGAGATCAGGGGACCGCACAAGACGATAGACGAGTTCGCCGAGGGTATGTTCCTAGCCTGGAAAAAGATGCTTAGAAGATGGGAGGATTTCACGGGGCGCAAGGGAGAGGATTGGACGGGGCGCGAGGCAGAGGAACGCCGCGGGCAACTCTGGCGGCGCTTGTACCACGCCACGTTCAAGCGGGACAGCACGCCAGTCTTCTCACACGGCGACTGGGAGCGATGTAACATTCTCATGGCCGACGACGGGCGCGTTGTCGTCATAGATTGGGAGAATGCGGGGTGGTATCCCAAGTTCTGGGACCCTTGCAAAGCTTACTCGCATCAGAACCACGACGACTGGGATGACCATCTGTTGCAGATTTTCGGGACCGAGCACGACATTGAGTACACGCTGTGGCATACCCACCTAGATTGCCTTCAAGAGTCCTTGTCAAAGTCGCCCACGGCCCCGATTGCACTCGGGGAGGGTCAGCAGGAGAAGGTGAAGTCAGTGGGGGGAATGGGGGGCAATTGATACTTGTATTTTATCACAGAGCAATATGTAGGAGGAGCGTCTGGGACGGTACTAGTAGTTCTCACAAGGTCGCTTGTTCAAGTGCGTTGGGGTAGGTATCTTAAGGTAGATAGTATATAGTAGGTACCAGCTAAGGTAACCTCAGGTACATACATGTAGTTTCTTTTCACAGTCGAAGAGCCCTAGAAAAGAACTTATCCAGCCAACATGAAACCATTACGAACCAGCCGCACTGGTACTCATATATGACACACTTACCCCCTGCCCGCCCTAGCAGTCTCAATAGTATCGTCTCAAACCACCATCGACGTAACGACGTTTTTCCTCAGTCGCTCCCAGCTCCAGCTCCATGCTCGCACCCTGCCAAGTGCCAACATAAATGACAACCCATCAGAAGGTACCGTCATTGACAGCGTCTTTGCCGAACCGCACAGCCGGGTCGTCGTGGGGGCGTAGCTCTCGCAGCACTCCAGAGTCGCGGAGCCTTTGAATGGCGGCGTCGGTCCAGTTATGGCAACACTCGAGGTCGAGGTCGGCTTCAAGTTGGTCTCGGACTTCTTCATAAGCCCGCCTGACGTCGTCGGGACATGCGTCGCGCCGGACCCGGCCTATGGGGCGCATTCGGGCCGCTGGATAGCGGTGTAACGGGTCCTGGCAAGACTGGCTGGTTACATGTACCCTGACGACCCCCTCTGGCACTCTGCCGTCGTTGCCCGGGCCATCGGGTGTTGTTGTTGTGTCCCCCGCTCTGGCCTGCATGATCTTGACGGAGAACTTGAACATATGGCCCCTGTGGGCGCCGCCACCCAAGGATTTTGGCTGAATGACATCTTTGAGATCGACGTAGAGATACCTGATATATCCCTTACGAGTCAAGCGCGGGACGTGGACGAGAAAGACGAGGTGATCCGTCTCATAGTAGGGTTCGAGCGTGTTGTAATCGTTGTTTGCGTCGCCGCAGCCGTCGCTGTCGCTGTCGCCGGGCTGGGCTGGGTTGTTGGTTGTCATTGCCATTAAAGAGTAGGTATGTTTCTGTGTTGCGTTTCGAACGGCGTATGGTGAATTAAGGTAAGCAATACCGGTAAGATGTTGTCTTGAGGACGTCAGGCTTGGTGGACAAAACCGTTTCCAGCTGTCGCGTCCATCGGTCCATCTTTAGTTTATACTTATATGCAAAACCTACCACCGCGAAACGGTATAATTACTCTATTGAGCCTAGCGAGCATTGCTTCCATCGTCAACTTCGCAGCAGGAGCAAATGTGCAAGGCAGGATCTATCTGGCGGACGAGACACACATGGAGACATGGCGCTGGCTCCTGGGACCAGGCGAGGCGCAAGGGGTTGACTGAGGTCACAATGATTTCTTTGTCTCGAAGCAAAGACGTCCTTCACTCTCTTTCAGAGCTCCCGACAGCGACTGACCGTTGACCCGTGGCCCCTAGCCGGCGCCAAGGGTTATGAGGGACAAAAAGCGTTGAAAATGTGGCAAAATTGAGAATCTGTTGCATGATCGCATCTTCTGTAATCTCCTGACTTGACCTGATACGGTGCTCCGCGTCGACCGCCCGTAACCTGGTGAGTCCTGCCACTCGCTTGGGCAATTCTTCACCTGAAGCGGGACCTTGGTAAACGGGACTACTGTTTTCGCCAACCGTCAGTAAGGACTGGACCCTGGCGCCACGAGCGAAGCTGCAAACAAGCTGTTGTAGTATGGGGACAGGTAAGGACAAGGTGTCTCTTTCACACAAAGATCAGCTCATGTCCTGCTGCATCGGCACTTACCGCATCAGAACGGGAAAAGTTGGTCCAAAACAACAAGACATAGCCAGCTCGATCTTTGTTAACCGCTTCGGTTGGCTGATTTCGGTGTAATCGAGTCATGTGCCTAGTCGTCGAGCGTCCATTCCCGGGGTCGGATCCATAAGGTAGGTACTTACATGTATCTAAACCTCTGGATCTGTCGCAGCCTTGCTGCGGGGGAGAGGCGCCGAGTTCATCTGCCGTATGGCCTTGTCTCTTGTTACAAAACAGAGCCAGAAAGAGTAGAAACATTACCGCTAGCAAGGGACTTCCACCGTAGACCACGCCGCGCTGTAGATTGTACAGGTGGTGGCCACATACGGGCTAATTTTTGCCGTGACCTACAAGTTACCTAAAGTAGTTCGGATTCTAAAGAACCTGCTAACCACTCAAACCCCTCTTGGTACCCCTGGCCCATCACCACCGTGCACATAAACAACTCCACCGGCCGGGTCGCTTCTCCCTCTCCCTCTCCCTTTCCCTCCGCATCCCTCCTGCTCCTGCCTCTCTTATTCTCACCCCAGATAGGAACCCCCATGACCCTCCTCAACTCCTTCTCTGAAACCGCCCCAACCGCATCGATCTTATTCCCCAACACCAGCACGGGTATCGGTTTGCTAGCCCCCGGGCCCTCCCTCTCAAACTCGCCTAGAACCCCTAAAAGATCCCGGAGCAACGTCCCAGCTTTATCAAGCCGCCCCCAATCAGCGGCATCCACGACGAGCACAATCCCATCCACGTCGGCAGCATATAGGTAATCCCGCCATAACTGTTGGATTCCCCCTGGGTGGTCGCGATAGCAGAAGCCTCCGAGGTCGATTGGGTTTAGGACAAGGTGTTTGCCGGTTGTGGTGGTGAGTTTAATATCGGTTAGAGATGTAGATATAGGGAAGAAGGCGAGTGTATGGGATGAACCAGAGCCGGAGCCCGGTTCATGAGCTGGTTTGCGCATGCGGTGCAGGAGGGTGGTCTTGCCGGAGTTGTCGAGGCCGGTGACGAGGAGGGTAATGCGCTTGGGGTTGGTGGTTGGGATGAGGGAGGAGCAGAGGGAATGGAGGGTAGAGAGGGCGGTAGTGAGGAGCGAGGTCATTGTCGTTGTTGTTTGCTGGTGTGGTTGTTCCGGGGTATGTCGGTGTCTGGCCTGGGGAAGGCTTTGCCGCCTAAGGTAGATGGCAAAGTTGAGATACCTGTTTTCTCTGGACCTGTAGCTTTCGAGAGTCTGGGTTGTATAATGATGAATGGTTTGGGTAAGCTTTTTTGTGTTTGGAGGACTCGAATGTTGCCTGATGTCGGTGAAGAGGTACCTTAAGTAAGCGACGAGTCGGCATGAAGTTCAGTTTCTGACCCGATTTGCTCCGCGACTCCGGGCCGTAGCTTATAGTTAGGCCCAGCACCAATCACAACATGCCTTGACCTTCGGCGTGTGCATCTTCAGAGAATTGGAGCACAAAGGGTGATTCACGATGCGGATGGTTGAGACTCATGATACGAGGATTACATGTGATGCCTGTAAACCGACAAGTTGAAGGAAGGGTACCTACTCTAGAGCAATGTCATAGTACCTACTAGTAATCCATAACACCATGTGGAACAAAGTACAAAATTGAACTATATCCGTCCTCCACTAGTCCACGACCTTGAAGTTCGGTCCATTCGCCGTTTATACTTGGGACTCGGATCGTCTTCCCCTGAACCACCGCCCAAGTCGACCAAGCCAACTTCGACCTCGTTGTTTCTCCTGGCCTTCCCGAACCAAGAGTGGTTTTGTTCTCTCTACCTCTAGTTCTCTCTCGAACATGGAAATTCGTTGATGTTTTTGCCCCAAAACTTGTGTAGTGGTTCGCAGCTGTTGTTCCAAGTCCGCATTCTCCGTGGTCAAGCTGCGGTTTTGTTCGGTGGCATCCTCCAACTGGCGCTTGAGCTTGGCAAGCTCTTCCGACAAAGACTGACGTTCCTTCGACGCCAATGAGAGTTTGGCGTCCATCTCCTGTTCAAGGCTGGCGCACTTGGTGTTCGCCGCCGCCAACTGGTTGTCAAGGGCCTGAACCTTGTAGTCGTGTACTTTCTTAACCTTGTGGAGAAGATTCTTGTACCTCTGAGCTTGTACTTCAAGATCCGTTGTTACTTTCGCCAACTTGTCCTCCGCCAAAGTTCTGTCCAGCTCGACTTGCGCTAGACGAGCCTTGAGACTCCCAATCTCAACTGACAGATTTGAGATTTTGGTCTGGGCGTCGTTGAGCTCTTGTTCGGCGACTTGCTTGGCGTTTGTTTCTTCGTCGAGACGGGCCGCAAGATGTGTCTCAGCGGCAAGTTGGATAGCTGCAAACCCCTCCACCATCTCCATCCATTCCTCGGCAAGGTCGTCCTTTTGATAATAGTGGTTGTCCCTGCAAAGGCATAGTTCCGCCAGTTCAGCGAGATCTTGGAGGGTGACTTGGGAGGGGGCCTTGCTTGCTAGCGATAGGAGCCTCTTTTGAACTTTGATGTTGTCTTTGTTGTCCTTATATTTGTGAAATCCGCATCGTGAGCCCCTTCTTTTGGCGCTGCGATTGATGCCGGAGCATTGGATTTCTCCTTGTTTCGCGTTGCCCCTGATGCGCAGAAGTGCATCGGGATTCCACGGCGCAATCATGACCGCCATGCTACAGTAGGTAATGTCAAGAATATTCGGAAATCACTACAGTAGTTGAACAGTTTGGAACAGTTCAAAGCACGACTCTGGGATTTTATCATGATCTGAGCCTTCTGAGGCACCCTACAGCAGTACAGCTTGACATCGCCTCATTGTCCTCAGCTGAACATTCGTTCCCCATTGCATCTGCAACTTAGACGTATTGAACCGGCCCGGTAGCCGCCCTTTGAATTTTCTTGGTTTGGACCAGCATGATTGGCCTACATGCACTGAGGACGGGCAGCGCCGCAGCCACAAACTGTGACGAGACACTTGGCTTACGAGCTCATCCAAGATGATAACCTGCTCAATTCCCTCTCCTCTAACCGGTTTCGGCGCACATGTCTACCAAGGAAGGCTGTCAATTCATGATGGGCTGCCTAGGTAGGTATGTTATATTGGGCGCTTGCGGACTAGACTTCGGGGAACGAGCCGCTGGGTTCTTGACCATTGCTAAGATGCCTAAGATGCTGCCACAGTGCCACTTGCAGGTGCAGATGTCAACGTCACAGATCACGAGGTTTGGACACCGTTACGTGTCGCCGCATCTTGGAAGGACCACATAGGCGTCGGCATCCTTCTCGAGTTCGCCGGTCAGAGGTTGGATCGGTCTGCGACTCCGCGGTTACTAGCTGTAGGTGGCGAGTCTGCAGCCCAGCTACCTGCAAATGACGGCATTGGGAGGGCATGGGCACTTATTGAGCTGTGCCCTTGGTCGGTCAGTTAAACACCCCGAAGAATTATACTTCTTTTCCCTAGATAGCTCATTCGCAACGGACCAAGGCCATGAGGCTAGAGTTCATATTTCCCTGATCATGCTCCGTATATTGTCTCATGACGTTTACGCCGCCCAGAGCAAGCAAATCCTCTTCAGGCTGGGTTCAAGCTCTGTGGAGTTTTCCAGAACCAAGGAACGTTCGTCTGCTGGCAAGGAGGAACAAGTCTTGAGAATGTCCGCAATGATGGCGTTTGCCCCTGTATCCTGTCCGCCGCGTCCTGCTAGCCCTCCTCCACGCCATTTATTACTCCCGTCCCCCCTAGGTTACTTTATCCACGGTGTTACCTAGACTAAACATGCCTTAGACAATTAAGTTCTGAACCTACCTGTACGCAAGCGTCTCACCCGTCTCATAAGCGGGGCTGGATAAGATTCATTTCACCTCTGAGTATAGCCTCATCGAGCGCGAGTGGCTTATTCCTCATACTTGATATGATTCAAACCAAATGAAGGGGGATGTTCGAATCATACTGTATAAAGCACAGAAACAGCTCGTGTGATTCTATGCTACATACGCCTTTCTTTTAAGCATGCCTACCATGTCCGGTGAACGCCGATGGCGGGCCACGGTACCTTATCAATATCAACTCCCAGTTCTCAACAGACCATAACCCCAACGCCCCAAAACAAAAGCCAAGCATACAAACAGCAGATATCCCACACCATACGGATAGCACGCCTGCACACCATCCCATTCCACTGAGGTAATTACCAACCCCAACTCCCCTCCTACTCGAATCACCTCTTATGAGCCATCAACCTCCTCTCATCCCTCATCTCCTCCACCAACTTCGCATGCGCCACCGCAAGGACATTATAAATATTAGCCAGCTCATAATCCCCATTCCACTCAAACCCCTCCGAGCTCCTTCTCGCGACATCCGCCAGCCGGGCATGCGAGCTCTCGGTCAAATCGACATCAATAATCCAGTGCGATTTCCCCTTGACCGGAAACCTATAGACGGCGCGCTTCCACTCGCTGCGGCGCACCTCCATCTGGCGCGCGCGGTCGTACGCCGAGTCGGGCGTCGCCCGCAGCTGCGACAGCCGTTCCCTGGGCGAGTCCGGGACCGTCCATTTCGCGCTGGGTTGTGCCTGGGGCACGCTTAGGAGGGAGGGTTCGATGGTTTGGAGTTGGAGGGCGAGGCCTAGGTTCTCGACCTGCTTTTGGGCGCGGGATTGGAATTGGGAGAGGTCGTTGTTGTTGTGGTTGTTGCGGAGGGTGCGCGCGGCGGAGAGGGGCGGGATTTCGGGTGGTTGTTGCTGGTTGAGCTTGGCCTCCTCCGAGTCTGCCTTATGCCCGTCGGGTGTGATGATTTGCGGGGTGTCGTAGACCGAGGACGCCTTGGTGGATGGGCTGTCCTTGCAGGTTGAGAAATCGGCGCGCGAGTCCGGTTGCGGGCTGTGCCTGCTTGAGCCTGTGCCCGTCTCCGGAGACATGATGACGGCGGAGGAGCCGGCCTTGGTAGCTCTGCCCGACATCGCCGGGCTCTGGTAAGCCAGAGACCCCGGATTGGCCATGGTATGATTCACTGCCGAGCCCTGCGGATTTGGGGATGCATTGCTGTTTGGACGATGCTGCACGGAACTGGATTCCGGGGACATCAGAGGCGATGCATACATGGGAGGAGTTTGGGTTTTCGTGGCGGTCCCAGACACGCCGGGGCTCCGGAACGGATTGGTTTTATTCGGCGACCGGGCTCGTGGAACCGGCGGCGGAGACCTAAGAGGAGATCTGGGAGGAGATCTAAGCTTCACGTTCCTGTATCGAGATGGCGCATTCCTTCTAGAAGGCCGCTTCAGGGGAACCATGAACAGGTCGGTGTCGCTCTCGGATCCGACGGGCTCGATAAGAGGAGCCGTCTCGCTCGTGATAGAGCTGTCATTGGGCCTGAATTCCATAGCCGTGAACATTTCGATCGCTGTTAGTAGACAAAGTATGTATCAGATGATGATTGTTTCGAAACGATCGTTGATCATCGTCGATCATCCGGGGCAAGGAGCCCGCTTGTTTATACGGCAGCACATCGCGAGCCGACCTGCTTCACTTTCGGGTCGCGATGTTGTTGTGCGCATCCGGCGACCACGGCGGACGGGAAATGACCTGAAGGCAATGTTTCTGGCCTTTCGCAGTCTTGGGCCTGAAACGGAGAGTTGAGTCGCTTCTGCTGCCCTGAGGGCCCGAGGGCACGGGTCGTGCAGGTGCCCATCTGAACTTCAGCAATTTGGGACAATGGGGAGTTGGCGTGACACAAAATTGGTGCTTTGGGACCGGCATTGGCCCGCGAAGCCATTCATTGGATGCGCAGCGGGAAGGATGGCCAATTGTGGTGACCGCGAATTGCGCGGTGCAGAGATGCAGTGGCAGTGCTGACCGCGGCCTTGGGACGGCCTGCGTGGTTGCACTGGTTGGTGTGAAACAAGCCAGTTTGGAGCAGCCGCGTCTGGAACTCGGTTGCTGTTCAAGAAGCCCAGGCCCGGCCGATCGAGCGACCCCAGGCGAACGATTCCAGCCGGTGGCCCGCTGATAGCCAGCTGTCAGACAAGACACCAACACTTGGCGAAATCCAGGGGGAAAGTAAACAAAAAGCGAAGGAAAGAAACAAAAGGATGAAAAAATAAAATGAAAATATGGAGGACAATTGGGGAAATGAAATTGGAGAACCAACATATAATACTATGTAGGTACCTGTTAAGAAAGGAGTGAAGAAAAGAGTGAAGAAACGCAGGATGAAGAGAATAAGCTAGGTAACATGACGCAGAAAACGACCAGGAGTGACCCAAGGAGTCAGATAGACATTGAACCTACCAGGTAGGGGAAGACGCTGGATTGTGAATCAGTATACATGCTAGTAGTGGGTCGGAGGTTTCACATTCTGAACTCATCAGCAGAGTCGACGTGCCTGGCGAAACAGATTTTAATTCCCCTTGTACAAGTACAGTCCATCTTTTGCTCGATATGCACACCAACCTGCGAGACTGCCTTCATACTTCTCCCTTTTCAGCCTTGTATACAAGGATCCAGACCACCTTACCTTAGAATGCTCCCAGAGAACGAAAGGGAAGTCAACATGATCAACCAAATCCATCTTGAGCATTCTCCCTCGCCCTTCAATTTCGCCAAACCGGCCCACTTCCATCAAACAACATCCAGCTCGTCCCAGGGCCGCTGCACCAGCTGCTCCATCGAAGCAACCAGATCATCCAACAGGCGGACCGCGTGCTCCTTCCACGAGTCGAAGGTGACAATCTCCAACGTCAAGTTTTCCCCTTGATGGAACGCCTGAATCTTCCATTCCCGCAGTGGTTCTTCGTACGGGTAGATGGTCTCGAACCTGGCAGTCAGATCCAAAAAGCGCAGGGCCTCGACGTGCGCCACATCCTGATGAACGACCGAATCGAACCACGTCACGGTCTTGGGGTCCCAGTCCGTACAGTGCCGCACAATCTCGGTCAGGCCCATGCAGTCGTGCGACGCCGACATCATGTGCTGGTGCTGCAGCGCCACAAGCAGCTCGTGACCAGTCCGGATCGGCGGATTGCTGTTGAAACGGACACGCGTTGGGGCGTACTGCCAGCAGGGACCGGTGATGGAGTTGGCGTCGGGGATGCCCGGCACGTCGACGCCTCGCCCGGAGGCAACCTCGCCGAACACGACATCGTTAACACCGAGAAGACGGGCAAGGGTTAGGGCCCAGGCTGCGGAGGGCAGAGTGGCCACAGTGATGTCGCGGATCCGGGTGGAGATGTCGACGGTTCGATGGATGGCGAAGTGTCGTCGATTGGTGACGGGCGTGTGAGGCTTGAGGACCGAGATGCCAGGCGAGCCGGCGAGAAGATCGCGCCAGTAGGGGATTGCGCGGGGGATGCTGTCCTGGAGCGTATGGTTGACAAAGGCGGAGAAAGGGTATGAAACAGGAACCGAATCGGAACCTTGGTATAGCTGATGGAGCTGGTTCAGGAAAATGGGGAGGCAAATCTCATCATACTGAGCATGAGACAGGCGGAACACAAGGCTGCACCTCGTTCCGTTTGTTACAAAGAACCACTTGACAAACGACGACCCATATGGAATCCGAGTTTGTGCATCGAGTCTGGAAAGTTGACGGGCAAACGAGTCGACGTCGTCGCCGTCGATCTCGTACTCGACCACAGGAACAATGAAAGGGTTTTCCACAACAACGCTGTAGCACACGGCATCAAGGCGGACGAAGACTGTGCGGAGTATCTCGTTGCGCGCCATCAGTTCCTGGCAGGCGCGGAACATTTGGGCCTTGTCCACGAAGCCCTCGAAGTGGATGAGCTCGTAGCGGATGGAGAACCGCGGGAGCTCCACCGTTCCCTGTACGGCGATGTCCTGCAAGGGACGCGCAGGGAGTACATCGGCGATTTTCCACGACTTGTTCTCAAGCGCTTCTTGGATGCGCTCCATGAAGGAGTTGAAAAGCAGCGAAAACGGTCTGTAGTCAGCCCTCACTGGAGCCGCGGACACACCCTGTTGGGCTGCCACAGCGGGGGCAGGCTGCATCACGTTGGCCATTTCGTAAAGAGTCCGATTGGCAAAGATTTGGGCGACGGTAAGCTGCATTCCTTGTTGGCGCGCTTCGGAAACGAGCTTCATGGCGGTGATTGAGTCACCTCCCCTGGTAAAGAAGCTGTCACCAAGGTAAATCTTGTCTTGGTCAATATTCAGCAGACGGCTCCAAATACTCCGGAGTGTTTTTTGCTTTGTCGACGTCGCCGAGAGAGCGGGAGCGGTGGTTTGCGGTCGCTTCACTACTCTCTGCGCATCGCTTTTTGCTGGTTTTAGGATGCGAAGCGTGGAAGTGTTGCAGTGTTCAGAAAAATCCAAAGTTGCAAGGCGCCCAGTCTTGAACACGCGTGCCTTCCCTCCGTCCTGCTCGCCCCGGTGCGTACCTTCCGCCTTCAGTTGCATGAGCCACCGGGGTTCACCAATGGCCACGGCAGGCGCGCCCAAGGCTTTCCGCGTCTCGACCAGTAATTCGCCCGCTGCTCCTCGAGGCAGTGGCTGCTCGCAGTTTGCTGCTTCAACAATCCACGCGCCCTCAATGTCCTCGGCTGACAATCCGAGCTCAGCCAGGTTTTCACCTTCGAGAACGACCTGCTGACTCAATTTCTGCACTTCTCTCTTGTCGGCGGTGGTCAAGCACTCCACATCGCCGACTTTGATCTTCTTTCCTTCGGGTTCGCAGAGCTGGTGCACCACTGTGCGCAATTGCTCCAGCACCCTTCCCACTGTTTCCTTGTCCACCGTCCTGGAATCGAAGCTGGCCATGACGAAGAACCCATTTGCCGACAGCGAGCACACCAGCATGAGAGCGTACGTGTTGAATTTGAGGGCTTCCTGCGCAGCCTCGCTGTCGCCGGCAGGCACGAGCCCATTCGCCGGAGTCCGCTCATCCACCTTCACGTCTCCAGCTGCGGGGTGCAAGACGAAGCCGGTGCGCAGCTCACAAGCTTGAAGAGCATCTTCGCTAAGTCGTCGAATGTGCTGTAGCCCGGCGTGCTCGTAGGGAATCTGCGTGACGCCCTGCTGGGCAACGGATTGCAAGTACTCCTCCACAGTGGCTTCCCGATCAATGCATATCCGGACGGGGATGGTCGTTATCATCGGACCCTCGATCTCCTCAGCTCCCACAATCGGCGCATTGCGGCCCGTTAGCGTCTCACCAAAGACGATGTCCATATTGCCCATGCAATACTGTGAAGCGACCAGCGCCCAGGCGGCGCGGATAACGGTTGCTAGCGTGACAGTGGCATTCGAGCACATGGGGAGACGCCTATCCTTGAGAGAAATGTCAACCTCAAGCAGCGAATCTGCCTGAGTTTGGTAACCTTCGAAGGGCAGGCGGGGGAATTGTGGGCCTGTGGCACCGGCGAGCTGGTCACGCCAGTAAGTATCGCAAGCGACGCGGTCGAGTTTGCTGTTGAGATAATGGATGAAGTGCTTGAATTCGGCAGCGGGCTGTCGTGGCTGAACGCCTTGATAAACTTGGTTCACTCTCTCGACGATTAGGGGCATCGACCAGCCATCGTAGAGGGCGTGATGCATCGTGAGGACAAAGTGGGCGTTCCCACCATCGCGGATCATGGCATAACGAACGAGAGGCTTCCCAAGGTCCATCTGCTCGTCACGGTCGTTCTCAAGGTACTCGGCCAGTGAACTCGCCGACCGCCAGGCAATGGGCTCCTTCACCACGACCTGCATAAGGCCGCGCTGCGACATTTGGATGATGCGGGTGCGAAGGATTGCGGAGGTAGAAGCGACAGTATCGAACGCAGCTTGCAGCTTGACCGCTTCCTCTAAGCTTCCCATTTTCAGCACCCGCTGCGCGACATATGCCTCTTTGACTTTCGCAGACAGGGCCATGAGCGCTTCCTGCAAGGGAGTGCAAGGGTACATGTCTTCAATATCCGCCTCGTCCACTCCGCAGTGCTTGCTCGCCTCGGCGCGTGCTTCATCAACTGGCCAGCTGCTATCCAGCAGCGAGAACGGCCGAACCATCTCTGAATTGCTGCCCCCTTGTTCCGCTGATACGATCTTCGCAACGACCGCCATGTCCCGAAGGGCTGGGTAGCGGAATACATCCGCAACGGTCAAGACGACGCCCTCCGTCCGCGCAGCAGCAACAAGCCTCATGGCTCTTAGGGAGTCGCCGCCGAGAGCGAAAAAGTTATCGTGAACGGAGATGTCGACTTGGTCCCCGAGTACTGACCTCCAGATACCTTGCAACGCACGTTCTATTTCCGTCAATGGCTCCTCCAAATCAGTGCGCTTGTTTCTGCGAGATATGTTGGCGATCTGCTCTCGACTCATAGCTGCTCCAATCTCGCGGAGCTTCTTCCTGTCAATTTTGGCCGACGGTAGCACTGGCATGTCCCGAAGCGGGATGTACGCTACTGGCACCATATACCGGGGAAGCACGACACCAAGCGCCTCATCGATCCCGCCCAGTGCCTTTGCCAGCTCGTCCGAGAAGGTAAGGTTTTCTCCGGTAGGCTCGTCGGTCAATCCACCCAAAGGCTGCGGCTCAACTAAAAAGGCTACCAGGGTGGGCTCGCCTCCGTCAGGTCTGATCACCTCGGCTGCTAACTTTATTCCGCTCGGTAGGGAATGGCGAAGGTGATGCTCGATTTCTACGAGCTCGACACGCTGTCCTCGAAGTTTGACTTGAGCATCCTTGCGTCCGACAAACACAAAGTCTCCTGAACCACCACGGTCGTATCGAACGAGATCCCCAGTCTTGTAAAGTCGTCCCCGCCTCCCGGGAACGGTGCCGTGCCCTGCTGTCAGCCACGCTGGGTCTTCGATAAAGACTTCAGCCGTCTTCTCCGGCTCACCGAGATATCCCATCCCTACGACAGGACCTTCCACGAGCAGTTCTCCCACGGCACCCACGGGGACCAGGCGGTCGTGGTCCTCCGGATCGACAACCCAGCCTACCGCCCCAACCCCCTTACCAATGTTGCCAGTGGTGAAGAGTTTCCTCTGGCTCCCGTGCTTGGCAAATGTGTTGTTAACTGTGCAGCCGACCGTGCATTCGGAAGGTCCATATGCGATAATCACGCTGGTTTTCCCTTTGCTCCAGGCTGCCGCATCGGCAGCAGAAACAGCCTCGCCGCCCAGCCCCAGCACATCAAGATCGGCGATCACGCTGGGATCCAAAACACGAGCTACGCTTGGTGTCATGTGTGCCATGTTGGCACCGCTCGACCTGATGGCGCCTCCAAGATCATTCATCCTGTCTGCGTCGGACGGAATGCAGATTGTGCCCCCAACAGCAAGAGTGCAGAGCATGCAGTCGATGCTGACATCAAACGCGTAGCTTGCGAACTCAAAGACCCGGGACGAAGAAGCATATCCGACGGCTTCTGCTCGCGGAATTGCTCCGCTGGTGTAGTTGGCATGAGAGATGACAACTCCCTTCGGCTTACCCGTACTGCCGGAGGTGAATTGAATGTACAAGGGTGATGTGGCAGTCGGAATGTCAGGCAGTGGGGCCGGTTCATCTTGGGTATCCAGAAGAAAGGACATCGATTCCTCCGAGAGAGTCACTACCTTGCCGTCTCCGGGGACAAGGCGCTGCGCCAGTTCCGACTGGGATGCAGACGCTACGACGAGCCTGGCTCCAGTCTGTTCCACCATGACCTTCAATCGGGCCTCCGGCTGGCTGGTCGGATCGGTGAGGGCGAACGCGCCGCCGGCCTTGATGACGCCTAGCAGCGCAATTACTGTCCAACGGCACTTCTCAAAGCACAACGGCACAATGGTACCGACGGTGAGGCCAAGTAAGCACAGGTGGTGAGCAAAACAGGTACTCATTAAGTCGAGCTCGGCGTATGTGAACTGCCCGTCCCATGAGCACAAAGCAACTTTGGTCGGGTTGGCCACGGCTTGCTCCGAGATGATGTCGTGCATCGTCCGGTCAATGATTGGAGGCAATGAAGCATTCCAGCTCCATATCTGGTTAAGGTCCCCCGGCAGGGGATCGAGAAGTCTTCTCAACGGCAACTCAGGCTGTTTTGTAATGACATTGAAGAGCTCGATGAAGGTGTCTAACTTGTCGCCAGCCTGCTGCTCCGACAAGGGGACATGCTTGTTTGGCCAGAGTCCCCACAGGGTGAGATTGCCCCTTTCTCTTGACACTCTGAGCTGAAATGTCCATTTCTTGATGATGTCAGCTCATGCCTGAGACACCTGCAGCATGTTTGTAACACCTACCGGTGAATCTACGTCAGATTCCCCCTTGCGTGGACAGCCTGACACTGCAGGCTCATCTAAGAAGAACAACGATTCGGGCGACGAGGACTCGATACTCCGCGATGAGCTCCGCACTGCTCCAAGGAATGCTGAGACAGGCTCACTGGTCGTGCGGTTCAGCGTTAGGCCGAGGGCGGGAAGTGAGAGCCGGACCGCCGTCTCAGTTCCGTCGACAGACGTCGAACCCCATGTGAACTGCTCTACTGGGTTGTCATCGCTCCGCTCTCTTTGGAGCAAGAGCGTCCATGCGAGGATGAGCTCGTCACGGCAAAAAGCGTCGTTGAATTCGTCGCTAGGAGAGTTGGAGACAGACACCGTTCTGGTCACAACCTCTGGAGGTGTGCTTGGGGCCCCGAGGTGCATGACATCGCGGCGCAGGCCGTTTCCCAGGCCCACCAAACCCGGGGCATGCTGTGCAAGATGCATGGTGTTGGTAACGCTGATGGGGACTTTCCGGGTAATTCCGTGCTCCCTTTTGCCGCCGCTGCAACGGTTGGCGACCCTGCAGAACGGATCAAGGCATCGGCTTGGGGTAGCAGATGGGGTAGCGGCCTGTGTGTCTTATTTCAGACGGCTCCTAACGAGGCACTGGAAGTGAAATGGGCTCAGGGGAGAGGAGCAGGACATAATCCCCTCTTCCTTTGACGGGATCGGAGAGGAGATGGGAAGAGCAACGCATGCGAGTTCGTAGCGTCACTTTTCACTCTAGGGAAACTCTTGGGACTCTAGGGCAAGGTTGGATCCATCCATCCTCGCTAAGGCCAACAACCTAACCGGGCTACCCCTAGCCGAGGCTGGCCCCCTACGATCGGACCCGCAGTGTCCACCACACCGACAGCCTCCATCGGGACCCGCCATTGTAAGCCCTGCCCTTGTTAGAGTGCACTGGTCGTCACGGAGTAACTAGTCCACTGTCGGGATCACAAACCCTGTACTCCTGCGGCATCGTCCAGACTCCAGAGCATGCCGTTGACCGAGGAGATGAGAAATGTGGCCGAGTCACAAAGAGCTGGGGCTGAGTCCCCCACCGGAACGAGTAAATCCTCGCCATGGGGTTCGACCCAAGCTCCAAGAGATGAAGGTGGGTGCCTTGTGCCTTGTGATGTCACGTTGCGGAGGGACACGACCGAGGTCCAAGCCCGTTTCTGGCCGAGTGGCTTGTTATTGGACAGGGATTTGATGCGATATGTCATCGTTGGCGAGTAGTCGCGGGTTAAAAAGCTGGGTTGCGAGGGTGCATGTGTAAGGAAAAAGGGAAAGGTTTGCCCGAGTTGGTGGTGTAAGGAAGTGGGGAGAAACGTTTGAAGGCCGACAGGGGTGGACGGATCAGATAACTTTAATGGGCCACTGCCGATGCAACCGGAACTCCACCACCCTTGTGCGACAGGGGCCCAGTCCTCCGGCTTCGGGAGAGGGGCACGACAGCGGGTTGTGCGCGAATTTGCAGGTTTCACCAAACCACCATGACGAAACAACGCCCACGCGGTTCCCGGGAATCGTGATTGGGTTTACTCGTGACGGTTACGCAAGACGTGCGGGATCGGGTAGCATATGATGTTGACTCGACTCAAGACAAGATGTACTTGTACCGATGGATCATGGATGCGTGGTGATCATCGCTGCACGAAATGCCGGCCGGAGCCTCAGTCAAGCAAATGACAGCGTGATAGGGCGGTTTACTGGCCCTTGTGGGACTGAGCTTACGAGTCACGACGGTCGGGAGGTCTGAGACATGCCTCGCAGAACCGCGGTGATTTACGCCTCAAAGGTATCATTTGGAGCATCGGAGAGGCATAGTTTTCTCTGTTCCAGTCTGCTCTTTAAGTCTTTCTTTCCAGGCTTATACTCATCTGCGTCAGCTACCCATCACCACCATCCCTAGTAGCGACACCATCACCCCTAGTAGTGAAGAGGAAAAGGCGACCGAACCATGCCTTTCGCCATCTTACCCGCCCTGATCCCCGACATACGGGCAGTCTACGACGTCTATTTTGCCGCCTTTTCGGCGGATCCGGACGGCCGCCGGCTCCTTGACATCCTTTTCCCCCACGGGTGCTCGTCGGACGAGTTCCGCGACGCCCACACCAAGGGCACGCTGGCGTGGTGGCACTCGTCGGATACCCAGTACACGTTCAAGTGTGTGGACCCGGCGAACGGCGGGGAGATTGTTGGTATGGCACTCTGCGACGTGTTCGTCACGCCCCGCAGTGAGGAGCAGCGCAAGATGCCGGAACTGGGGTGGTTGGAGGGGGAGAATAGGGTGAGGGCGGAGAGGGTGCTGGGGAGCCTGTGGGAGGCGAGGGAGAGGATTTGGGGTGGGGGGAGGTATATCTGTGAGTGTTCATTCTCTTGATTGGCAAGGTTTGGAGTGGGCTAGGGGTTCTCTCCTCGCGCGCCGGGCTCGCTTCATGTGATGCATTCCTTCAAACCAAACCCAAAGCCAAGGCAGATGCAGGATGGGAGCAAGTGTGTGTGCTGCAGGGTGGCGTTGAAGCTATTGCGTTGTGGCGTGTCTGACTGACTGAACGAAAAAGACATCCATGCCTTTGCGGTAGACCCCAAGCATCAGGGCCGCGGCGCGGGCGCTGCGCTGGTGCAGGCCCTCATCGATCTCAGCGACAGCACCCAGCTGCCCATCTACCTCGAGTCGTCGCCCGGGTCGTACGGGCTGTACAAGAAGATGGGGTTTCAGCGGGTGCCTGAGGAGGTGGCCAGGGTCGTGCATGAGGCGGAGGTACTAGGCACGGAGAAGGACGTCGAGGTGCCGTTGATGATTAGGCTGCCTATGGCCTTGACGGCGACGGCAGTGAAGGATGGAGGGAAGAGTGTGGAAGATGTCTACAGGGAGTGGTATGCGCAAAATGGGCTTGGGGAAGGAGGCCATGGGGACGGCAGCGGGGAGAAGGTCAAGATAGTATGAGGTGAAAATTCAGAGCTTTTGGCCTGTCAAGTGCGATGGTCCACGGGTACCAGACTATTGATGAGCCGCATTAGGGCTCAGGCTGTCGTGATCGGACAGCTCGGCTGCTGGAGGGAGGGTGGGCATCTCGTACCCGACCTTGGTAGCGCCGGTCTGCCGAGGCATGCTCACCTTATTCGTAAGGTACGTATCCATACGTTACTGAGCTCATGAAGACGGCATTCTCCTACAAGTTGCTACAGCCGCAGAGGCTCAGGCATTTACATAACTCGGATATGTCTGTGTGCACTTGCGAGTGTCATAACCATCATTTCACAGGTGATCTGAGCCCCTGTCAATACTTCGGCCAGCTTCGGGATGTAGGGCAGTCGTAAGGAGCTGAGGGCCTGCGTTGTTTAACAGTAATCCCTGATGAGGGATCTGATAATCTTTATCTGATCATCAAGATAATGAAGGATCCTACGTGTGTGGAGCTTGTACGTAATGAGTTGGGCGAGTTCACAGGGCACAGGGAGGGTGGGCTAGGTAGTGGAGATGGATGTCCTCGACCCAGACGCAAGGGGTATTGTTGCTTTGGATACGGCGGATTGGATGATGCGACGAAATGACAATCTGTTTCATGGCGAGCTCGTTACCGAAAGAGGAACCCGAGTGTGTGCGTGTACAACATTGCACAGCAGTGACACCTTATTAATGCCTGCATCCGTGCTGAAGGGCGCTGCTGGCATGCTGATATCCTGAACGCGTGCAGCCATGCACTGTCAGATGCCGAGGCAGGTACTACACTAGTGACTGGAATTCGCGAGAACTGCTGCAGGGGAAAATTGGTGGTCTCCACTGATTTCGTAAGGAACGAGATATGACAAGGAGATGAGCGTGAAGGGATAATTAAAACAGGGGGCTACTGTCGGATGTGGGCATTACGGGTGGAGGTCATCACATCACAGTTGAGATGACATGACATATCATGCCGGACTCCCAATCCGGTTGTTCTGAAGACAGCGAAGGAGCCGCGAGAACACGCCACGCCATGGCTTGAGCACTCTCGAAAACAAAACTTGGACGGAGCCGCGGGCAGAGAAAACAAGTGGTGTGGATGGATGGGTGCCGAGAACCTGGTGAGTGGCAACCGATGAGGGAAATGAGACATGCTGCTGCTGTGCCAGGGTAACACTGCGTGACTGCGCAGTGCAGCGCATAATAACGTGGAGTTGACTTTGCACATTCACATTTTCACTTCCAGTTGGCCCGGATCCACAGGCCGGAGTGGGGGTGGGAAAAAATTATCAGATCCGGCCGGTTTTATTATCAGATCCGCATTCGCCAAGCCCGGCATCGGGGTCAGGGGGGACCATTCAGCGAAATTGAAGACCCTCCCACACCAAACATGAACCGAAGTATGGAGAGTGGACCGGCCATCCAGGTGCATGCCATGGCGCGTTGTGGGAAATGGGATGGAATGCCCGGCAATCTGTCCTCCCCAAAATTATTGCGCGATCAACACAGTCTCTCTCTTCCCGCCTTTTCCTCTGCGAAAATTTGCTCTCCAGCGAGAGGAGCTGGGATAGACTCGGGCAGAAGGAGCAAAGGACAGGGAGAGTAGAGCAGTCTGATTGCTGGTTTATTTTTTCCATTTTTATTTATTTTTTTTTTGCTTCCCGCTTTGGCCCTGGGCTATGAGTTGGCAGTAGACGCTCACGTCTCGCCCGTCCCAGCCACCCCTCCCAGCCAACCATGGCGGCAGGCCTCACTGAAGAGAAGCGCCCACCCAGCGCGTCCAACAGCGCCGTAGCCGCCCAATCAGCGCCTGGCTCCCCGTCTACACCCAAAGACGAGCCAGAGCCAGCAAAGGAGCCCGAACAGAAAGTAAGCACCCCTTTTGTTTACATTGCCTCACTTCCCCCTGACCGCCCTCGATCCATCCATACTAACCACCACCACCCAGTTCCACCTTCTAACCTACCTGCGCATCTTCCTCTCCGCCAACCCGTCATGGATCGACATCTTCCTCCTCATCACAGGCACCCTCTCCGCCGCGGCGGCTGGGGTTCCCTTCCCGCTAATGGGCATCCTCTTTGGCGAGCTGGTCGACGACATGAACGGCGCCACTTGCGCAGCCAACTCCACCTCCTCTCCATCATCAACTACTAACCCCTTCGCCTACGAATCCGCCATCAACGCCAAAGTCCTCCAACTAGTCTACATCGCCATTGCGGCCTTTGTGCTCATCTACGTCTACGTGCTCTCCTGGTCCCTCGTCAGCCAGCGCCTGGCGCAGCGGCTGCGGGGGAAGTATGTCGCGGCTCTGCTGCGGCAGCCGCCGGGGTTCTTTGACGCGCGGGCTGCGGCCGCGGGGGAGGTGAGTAGTCGGTTGCATGGCGACATGACGGCTGTGCAGGCGGGGACGTCGGAGAAAGTGGGCATTTTGATTGCGAGTGTCAGTTTTTTTGTGGCGTGCTACGTGGTTGCGTTTATCAAGCAGCCGAAACTGGCGGGGATTTTGGTTTCGTTGATACCGGCTTTTCTGTTGATGGCGCTTGGTGGAGGGTTTTTTGTGCAAAAGTATATGGGGCGGTCGTCGGGGGGTGTGTCGGCCGCGTCGGAGATTGCTTCAGAGGCGCTGCAGCATGTTGCTGTGGTGCAGGCGTTTGGGGCCGGGCCGAGGTTGGAGAGGAAGTTTGCTGAGCATGTGGCCCTGGCGAGGTCGGCGGGTATCAAGAAGGGGGTTGCTGCTGCCGTGCAGGCCGGGTTGCTGTATTTCATTGCCTACTCGGCAAATGCGCTTGCGTTCTGGCAGGGCAGCCGCATGGTGGTGGACACGATGAACGGCCACGGCACCGAAACGGTTGGGCAGATTTACACGGTCGTGTTTCTCTTGGTTGATGGTAAGTTGTCTAACCAGTCAACATTTCCCCCTTTATGCTGACATTCACCCCCTTGTAGCCTGCGTCTGCCTGGGCAACATTGCGCCCTTGCTACCCATCCTGACCGGCGCGTCGACAGCCTTCCAGCGACTGATGAAGGACATTGAAACACCCTCATCCATCGACGGGACGTCGGACGACGGCATCGTCCTGCCCCCGTCCACCCCCGGCGACATCGCCTTCCACAACGTCTCCTTTACCTACCCCTCCCGGCCGAACCAGCCCGTGCTGCGCAACATCACCCTGAGATTCCCCGCGGGCAAGCACACGGCCATCGTCGGCCTGTCAGGAAGCGGCAAGTCCACCATCGCCTCGCTCATCGCCCGCCTGCACGACCCAGATCCAGACAACGGCAGCATCACCCTGGACGGACACGACCTCCGCGAGATCAACGTCCGCTCCTTACGCGGCCTAGTGAGTTTCGTCCAGCAAGAGCCGTCCCTCCTCGACCGATCCATCCTGGAAAACATCGCCCTCGGCCTCGTCAACTCCCCGCGACCAGAACACCAAGCCCTGAAACCCACCCTGCAGAGCAGCGCCCTGGCCGATCTAGTTGCCGCACACGGCAAGGACGTCATGTCCCTACCCCCCAACAGTATCAACATAACCCCTGAAATCTCGCAAATCCTCACCCTAGTCCGCACCGCCGCCTCCCTCGCCGATGCCGACAGCTTCATCTCCTCCCTCGACAAAGGCTACGCCACGCCCGCGGGACAACGCGGGTCGCTCGTGTCTGGAGGTCAAAGACAGCGTGTGGCGCTGGCCCGGGCGCTTGTCCGTCAGCCGAGGGTGCTGGTGCTTGACGAGGCCACGTCGGCGCTGGACGCGGCGAGCGAGGGACGGGTTGCGAGGGCCGTGGACAAGCTTGTTGCGGAGGGGGAGATGACGGTGGTTAGTATTGCGCATCGGCTGGCGACGGTGCGGAATGCGGATTGGATTGTGGTTATGCAGGATGGGAAGGTGGTGGAGGAGGGGAGGTATGAGGAGTTGATGGCGAGGGAGGAGCCTGGGGGGGTGTTTAGGGGTATGGCGAGGCTGCAGAGTCTGGGGAGTTCTCAAGCATTGGATGGGGGTGAAAAGGATGGACATGGTCTTGGTCTTGGTCAGGAAGGGGAGCGGTCGGGGACGGAGAGTGTGGAGGGGGATGAGGAGAAGGGTGTGGATGTGGAGAAGGTGGTTAGTCGAAAGACGGAACCTGCTGCTGCTGCTGTGACGGAAGATATGGAGAAGGGAGACGACATGGATGCGGTCACGGACTCTGCCCGCTGGGGTAGCGTGCTCCGCGGGCTTGCTCGTCTCGTGCGGCCGTCCCTTGGGTGGCTTGTTCTGGCCGTCTTCGCGGCAATCCTCGTCGGAGGCACTTTCTCCGGCTCAGGCCTCATCTTTGGCTTCACCGTGGGCGCGCTCAACCCATGCAGCAACACTTCCGACCGCATCCTGGAACTCGGCATGTTTTTTGGTGGGCTGCTGTTCATGCTGGCCGTGATCGAGCTGCTAGCCAACTTCTTTGCGTGGTCCTGCTTCGGGTTGATCGCCGAGCGTTTACTGTACGCCGTGCGCGTGCTCTCGTTCCGCTCGCTCATGGAGCAGGGCGTGCAGTGGCACCAATCCAACGGCCGTTCCCCTTCCTCGCTGCTCGACATCATCACCAAGGACAGCGCGGCCATTGGCGGCTTCAGCGGATCCACAGTCGGCACCGTCTTCTCCATCATCGTCAACTTTGTCGTTGCAATCGTCCTGTCGCACATTATCATGTGGAAGATTGCCATCGTGTGCCTGGCCATCGTGCCCGTGCTGCTCGGCGCAGGCTTCATGCAGCTGCGCATGCTGGCGCGCTACGAGGAGCGGCACGCTGAATCCTTCTCCCGAGCCACGGGCGTTGCCGTCGAGGCGGTGCAGTCCATCAAGACCGTGGCGGCGCTGTCGCTCGAAAAGGAGGTCATGGCCTCGTACGCGCGCCTGCTGAAGAACACGCGTGACGAGATGGTGCGCGCCGCGGCGTTCACCAACATCTGGCTCGCCCTGGCCAACAGCATGAGCTTCCTCGTCTATGCCTTTGCCTACTGGTGGGGGTCGCAGCGCATCATGGCCGGCGAGGCCACCCAGACGCAGTTCTTCATCATCCTCGTCGCCATGCTCGTCAGCGCCCAGCTCTGGGGCCAGATGTTCACCCTCGCGCCCGAGTTCTCGCGTGCCCGGACGGCCTTTTCGCGTATCCTCGACATCATCAGCCTCGGTTCCAACAATGAAATCGACTCCAAGCACGGCCCGCAGGGCAAGAAGGACACCAGCGGCGGCGACATTGAAGCCCTCGCCGAGTCACAGCCCCCATCAACATCACCCCCGTCCAACTTGACCCAGCCCGGCATGCAAGTCACCTTCTCCTCCGTCTCCTTCTCATACCCCTCCCGCCCAGACCACAAAGTCCTCGACTCCATTTCCTTCACCATCCAACCCGGGCAATTCGTCGGGCTGGTCGGGCCCTCCGGCGCAGGCAAGTCCACCATCATGAGCCTGGTCCAACGCCTATACACCCCCACGTCAGGCACAATCTCCCTCGACGGCGTCCCCATCTCACCCTCCTCCTCCTCCCCCTCGCAAATCCCCACCTCCCTCCGCGACACCATCGCCCTGGTTCCACAAGACCCAGCCCTCTTCTCCGGTTCCATCGCCTTCAACGTCTCCCTCGGCTCCCGTTCCAGCACTCACAACCCCACCCAAGCCGAGATCGAAACCGCCTGCCGCCTCGCAGGGATCCACTCCACCATAACCTCCCTCCCGCAAGGCTACCAAACCGAGGTCGGCCCGTCCGCGTCCCGCTTATCCGGCGGCCAGCGCCAACGCCTGGCAATCGCCCGCGCGCTGGTCCGCAAGCCACGACTGCTGCTTCTCGACGAGAGCACGAGTGCTTTGGACGCGGCCAGCGAGGCTGCGTTGCAGGAAGGGCTGGATCGGATTCGAGCTGAGGGGGCAACGGTGATTGCGATCACGCATCGGTTGCATACGGTGAGGAAGGCGGATGTGATTTTTGTGGTTGAGGGTGGCAAGGTGGTGGATCGGGGGACGCATGAGGAGCTGATGGAGAGGAGGGAGAGTTATAGGGTTAATGCGATGCAGCAGATGTTGCAGTGAGTGAACTGGGCTGAGTGGTGAGGTGGGGAGGCTGAGGTGAGTCGGTTAGAGAGGTTGGGACTGGTCAAGTTCGCTTTGGATTGAACTGCATCTGTTTAGCTAGGGTTGAGTTGTTAGAATGGGACTGGGAGACAAAATGTACAATTCCGCATGGATATAAATATACTGCAAAGCATACTACAGCTCCTCCTTGAAGAAAACCTCTTGCGAGCCTTCCTCCTCCTCTTCCGCATCACCCGCCTTGCCGCTGCCAGCATTTTTATCCCCCTTTCTGCCCTTAGGCACATCTTGATCCGTTGTGCCTCCCCCCTCCTCACCCACCTCGTCATCGTCAAACGAGCCCACAACCTCGTACCCTCCGGGGATCTCCACCACCTCAACCCTCCATCCCCTATCACCAGCAAGCTGCTGCAGTTCCTTCCGCAGTTCCTCAATTTTTTTCGGATCAACCCCGAGCTTGACCAGCTCTTCATCGCTGAAGTCCACATCCGCCTTAGCCCCAGCCCCAGCCCCATCCTGCTTGCTATTGTCGGACTGTATCTGCACGACGGCAGGTTTGCCCATAGCCTGTCTCGGAGCGACCAGCCTGGGCGCGGGTTTCCCATCTTCCGTGGCGCCGCCAAGCACCTTCTTGCCGCCGACCACAACCCCGCCAATGGTCATGCCCGTGAACTGGTTCTTGGCCGCCTCCTTGACCTTGGCTTTTTGGGTGCCGGCAACTCCGAACAGCTCGCCCGCCTCGACCCGCTTCTGGTAGCGCCAGGCCGACTCCTCCTCCTCGTTGCCGACAATCTGCCGGCACCGGATCGGATGCGCCCGCGTCTCCTTGGGCGGCTGGAACGCCACGTCGGCACACAGACGGGGCGTGTTCACCACCATGAGATATGTGCACGTGGTGACCTCCTTGATCCAGCCGATCCTGTCGCCCGTGGCCCCGGGCTTGCAGTGGTACTGTATTTCAATCGTGCGCGGCCGTCCCGTCAGGTCGCAGATGGTGCCGTCCTCGAGGCGCTGCATCAGGTATCGCTGGTCGCCCTTGACCTGGAGCTGCGCATTCGGCGGCGCGATGCTCTTGGTCTCGCCGTCCGTGTCCGCGCCGGCACCCGTGTCTCGGTTACTCGACAGCTCCGGCACCCTGCCAAGCACATACTCCTGGCTGTTCTCGTCCCTGACCGGGGGCCCTCCCTTGTTGCCGTTGGGCACGGCGTGGAACTGGACGACGCCCTTGCCGTAGCAGAAGCTGTAGCTCCACCAGCCGGACATGTAGTACAGGCAGTGCCCGTCGAGCCCGCTCATCAGCTCCCAGCCCTTGGCCATAGCCCTACTCAGCTCGCGCGCCTCTTCGGCCTTGGCGAGCTCGGTCGCCGTCCGGTTCAGCACGGGCGGCGGGGCGATGACGGGCACCGAGCACAGGTAGCGCCATGGCGCGCTGTTGATGAGTTCGTATGTTTCCGACACTGGCGCGTCCTCGTCGGCGGTGTCATCTCCGGTCCCTGTCTTGGTGGTTGTCTCGGCGGGTGCGGATTCGCGCACCTTGCTGGTCAGGTCGGTCTGAGACGAGAAATCGGTCGATTGAGTTGGATGACCAGCGCGGGATGACTCGAGGATGGCGAGGGCGTCGGATTCTGAAATGAACTTGTCCGAAAAGACGACCTCGAACTGCGAGCGGGCAAAAGCGTCAGCGTCGCCGTTCGTCTGCTGTCTGAGAGAGGCCAACTACAAACTGCACGTACTTGGGGATATGCTAATACATCATCGTGGATGCTGAAACCGGGCTGCCGAGCATGGCAAAGCTGCGACGATGCTAGAAGAACCAGATTGAGTCGGCGCATTGTGCCACTGCTGGCATCTCGACTTCACATGCAATCGTCGTGCTCTGGAGCGCTGGCGTTGCCGGCCGAAATGGACACCTGTTGGTTGGTGCAACAGAAGCTCAGAAGCAACTGATAAGGTGGCCTTATCGGGCCATTATGGTAGTCGGATTATGTCATCACCTGGTGTGGCCGGGCCGGGCACTGCCCTGGATGTCATGTGCATGCGTTCAAAGCAAGAGCAATTGCAACTTCAAGCAGCCATTCGTTACCCAACTGCCAATAACCAACGGTAACTGCCGCAAGCATCCCTCATGGCTGAGTCGAAAACTGCATGAAACAAATCACTCGTTTTGATGAGGCAATGTACGAAGTATCAAAAGGCCGAGAGACATGGATCCCACACCGGTTCGGCTGCCAAGACGGCGGAGATGTGGAGTTAGTCGGGGCCCACCGGGTGTCACCGGTTCTTTCACGGAGACGGTGGCTGTGAGGAAAGGCCCAACCGCTATCTTAGATTGTCCCCGTCAAGATGTCAGTCATGGCAAGCAGTGACAGACAAGCCGTCAAGCCGGGTTTTGTTGGTGAATTGGGGACTCGGACCTTTTGATCCTCGGCTGACCAAGCCAACTGCGAGAGAAGCAAGATCTGAACTCGCGACATTTCCGCATGCAATTGAACAGCCATGTCGGGCAGTAGTCTTCGAGTCATCCCCATCCCATTCCGAGGTGAGCGATGCCCAAGGTGAGCCTGGCGACTGCCAACGTGTCCCAGCTGCAGCTAACCGAACAACTCATCAATTGGTGGTCATGCTCCTAATGCACGGGAGCCGGATGCACGGGCCATCAGACCCAAGGAGCGATATCGAGGCCCAAACCTTGGAGTGCCAGTCAGGCAGGGACGGCTCGGTTCAAGTTGTGGCTTTGGGATTCATCGCTCATCGCTTTCGAACTCGCTTGAGAAGTTGAGGGGAGCATCCACCAGGTCGGAACGAATTGGCCACCCCTGCACTGCCCGACACGGACCCGCCCGGGGAGCTGTGTTTTTGACCACTCGCGCCTTCCAGCAGGCCTCGCCTCACTTTTCCATCCCAAAACGGCCAATCAGGGCCGTTGTGAGGTCCTGCAGCAGCGAGGGATGGCCCGGATTGTTCTTTGACAGCGAGGCGACGCATGTAAATCCAGTGATTCTTCGTTTCCACGTCCCTTCTGCTCCACCGGCCATGCACAGAAAACCGTTGTGGTTGCAAGCAATGAAGCCATCGGGCAATCGACTGACGACGAGCATCCATGGGGCAAGGGGGATTTAGACGGCTGATTCATCAATTGGAGACCATCACGACCCGGACAACGATGGGGTCCGAGATCTTAGATACGCCCAAGCTCCTACCATATCTGGCGCCGGTTGGACTCTCCGAATATCATTGATGCGCAGTATGGGAATGATGCTATCCAACTTAAATGGTGTTGACATCAAGAGAAAATTGGAAGAAGGCGCAGCACGGGTCGCAGATATTGAGACCTTCGGAAATCTGTCTATCTTAGCAGACTGGTACAAACTCATACCTTGCTGGAAGGGATCGTAAATCGTAACTCAACCACGCTAGCCACATCATCGGTCGAGACAGCTCATCCATCCTAACTTTTAAGGTATCATGGCTGGGGAGGAAATATCGAGAGAACCCGCCGACTTCCTACCGACGTTACTGCCGACCGCATCCCGCATGAATGGCCGCGTGAGCATGCCGTCCAGTTGGGATTCGCATGCGACAAGCGCGGCGTCTCACAGACGACTGGCTGCTGTTGCGTCGTCGCCAGAGGCGCTCCTTTCCTTTTGCGGGCGAGGGATATATTCAAGGAGCGGACAGAGGTGGTCGAGGAGGGAAGCACTACAAGGGTACCTACTCGATAACTTATGGGGAATCTGAGGAAGGAGCCGTTGGTTGCGAGCCCGTCCACCGAATCAGCAGTGGCCATGGCCAGCCGAGAGATGCCATCCAATGGCACCAGTGGTGCTACAGAACATCGGCATCCCCTAAAAACCGGGCGTGTTCTCTCACACTGCACCGGATTGACCAGACACCAGCTTTTGCTACCCAACCCAAGCATCAATGGAAGGACGGGTCGACTGCTAGTTGCATCCTTCTCATTGCCCTGCCGCCATTCAACGGGCACGATACGATGCATGTCTGCTGCTCGTCCATCATCGCATCAACGCAGGGTATTCTTTTGCCAATGATGGGGTTGATGGAGGCGGGATGCGAGCCCAGATGAATGAGACTTCAAGATATGACCGGAAGGTGATGATGAGTGAGATGGATGGAACCCACCTCAGCAGCAGCCAGGAGCCCGCTAATCGGGGAAGAAAGATCTGTTTCCAGCGCAAATTGCTAGCGTGCATCCAGTGTGCCACAGCAGGGTCAGTAAGATTCGTCCGAGCCGTCACGCAGCACTATGAGACCCGTTTGGTGCACCGAGACTCCACTGGCCCGTCGAGAAGCAATCCGGCGACGGTGCGGCAGTGCGGCAGTGCCGTTGCATCAATCAGATGGAAGCTCCCCGGAAACACCCACCCCTGCCACTTTACTCACCATTGATCATCAACGAGACAAGTTGAAAAGTCGTTCCACTGTCGTCACTCTGCTCAGGCCCCCAGGCATCAATCATCGGTGAGGTGTGGGTGGATTACTACCACTGTAACTTTTAGTGTATTGGGACGCTGTCGTAGTGGGTTGTGTGCCTGGCCATCCAGAGACTGAGAGACCCATGCTTCTTGCCCCCCCCCTCCCTCACCCCGAGTTCCCCATCCTCGTGGCACCCCATCCCATCCCACGCAATTCTGATCGGGTGTGCGGCTGCATATCGACCTGATCCTTCTCGACTGCTCATTGTGCCGTCCCCCAGTCCCAAGACAGACAATAAGTACAATACCAAGTCACTTCGATCGCCGCTAACCATCTTGTCCGGGGCCCCTCGCATCTCAAAGCCTCGTTGGCCACTGCATCTTGACTGGATAAATATCATTTGCTCACCAACAGCTTGTCAATCCCTTTCCTCCCCGCTTCACTCTTGACTTTTCCATCGTCGCTTCGTTTGCCTGCCTGCCTGCTTCTGGCTGCCAGGGCTGCAGCGTCTTATCCGTTGGCGCATTCAAGGCTCTCTTGGACGACGGGAGGGTTCCTGGCCCTGAGAAACCCAGTGACCTAAACGAGTGGCCCGCTCCCTTGTTGGGAAGCTGACAAGGCTCCGGGATCACGAACTATCAAACCTCTGCTTCGAGGCTAGCCGCCTCGGTTGTCGTCACAATGAGCCAGCAAGAGGTTGAGATGCTCAAAGCTCTGATACGGCAAAAGGAACGAGAGAGACTGGAGCTCGAAAGTCAGCTTAGCAAAGCCCAATCCTCTGCCTCAACCACGGGCTTTGGGTCAGGCGCGGGGCTCAGCAGTCCGCAACATCAACAACAAAAGCAACCGCATCAACAGCATCAACAGCCTGCATTATCAATATCCACATTACGCCCTCACCCCCTCAATGAGAATGGAGTCAATGGACCCTCAAGAAGCAGCACCATGTCCCACCGTGCCACGCCTACTCTCGGTCTCAGTGCCAAGCAGGCTCGTCAGGTAATGAAGCCCTTCTTCACCCAGTCCGGCCCGTGGTGCGGCCCCACTCACTCATCATCGGCCCGTAGGACCACGGCCGGCCCATGAAGCGCTCAAAAACCACCCATGCCGCAGCAAACTCGGCGACGGCGTCCATGGTGCGGTCAAGATCAAGCTTCTCCAGCACAGCAGCCCATCCTAACCCCAACCCATTCGTCGCCAAAGGGACCGGGCCTATCACGCCGCCATGCCCCCCGCTCACCCGGAACAACAGTGTGCCTGTGGCTGTCCCGGGGGTTCTGAGTCATTATCTCAGTCAGAATCAATGCCAACAACCCTCGGGTGCCTTCATTCAGGACAACTCTTCATGTTTCCTTCCTGCATATGGGCAACCGCAACATGTCGAGATTGGTCGAGAGATGGACCCAGCCGAATTCCTTTCGATGCACGATGAGGACGAATTTACCGGCATTTCGCCTATCAGCATTCCGTCCGCTCACCTGCTCTCGCCGCTCGACGCAGGCCCGTACCCCAGCTCAAGTCTTCCGTCAACTTGCGGATCCCTGACATCGGCACCGACAATAGAGACAGCCATGTCAAGATGCAACAGCACGATGAACGACAATGCATCTATCTCAGGCCAGTTCAGTGAAATGGTCAGGATACAGTCGCAACAGTCGGCACGCAGTCATGCGAGACAAGACAGTCTAGGCGGCTACAACCAGACTACCAATCACCCACCCTTACTCGGGAAGCGTTCGTCAGCAGGGTCGGAATTTGTCTCGAGGCAGGCCAACCCGTACCCGTATCCTTATGCTTCCTCAGCTCCCGCCGAGTCAGGACTATCACAGCATCAGCACGCCATGCAGCAATCCCTATCTCAAGAAAGCATCCAGTCAGCTTCATCCGTGGACATGTCCCCTGAGCATGACACGACTGCAGCATTTCTCAGCCAGCACCTCTCCATGGAGCGATCTGTCTCCAAGGACAGCATCAGATCCAACTCGTCCCTGAAGCATCGCGCCAAGGAAGCCCTGGCCCGGCAGAACGGCAATGCCGCCAAGTCTCGCCATCTCCAGCCCAAACCGGCTGTCGACCCTACTAAGCCCACCCCCGCCGAGCCTGCCAGCGGGGGCAAGGGGAAAGACGGCAAGGCGGTCATCGCCAAGGCCAAGTACGAGCGCCCCAAGCACCCAAAGGTCATGTGCAACCAGTGCAACGACCACCCGGAGGGCTTCCGGGGCGAGCACGAGCTGCGCCGGCACACCGAGGCCAAGCACAAGAGCATGGTGCGCAAGTGGATCTGCCGCGACCCGGCTCTCGCGGGGATCCCCCACTCCGAGACGGCCGTCAAGCCGTTGAAAGATTGCAAGCAGTGCTCGGCCAACAAGCAGTACGGCGCCTACTACAACGCCGCCGCCCACCTCCGGCGCACCCACTTCAAGGTCAAACCCCGCAAGGGCGCAAAATCAGGTCCCGGCGGCGGCGGCGGGCCAGATGAGGAGCGGGAAAAGCGCGGAGGCAAGGGCGGTGGGGATTGGCCGTCTATGAATGAGCTCAAGAACTGGATGATTGAGGTCACGGTGCCCATGGACCAGGCTGGTGCGCTGGTGCCGGATCTGGATGGGAACGAGTCGGTCGGCGCGCCTGATCCGGAGGATTATGAGAGTGAGTTTGTTGATGCGGGAGTGTACGGCTCGTCACAACAAATGGCTCTCCCCGTGGCGGCAGTGGGTGCTGATGGGCATGGGCATGGCTACGACCTCATGGCGTTTGCCGGCGTCGGCGGCGGGCTGCCGTTGAATCCCGAGCTGGACATGGCCGCCGCCAACAACATGAACTTGAATGGCCCGCTGCCGGGCTTGCCGGGGGGCGAGTTGGACTCGTCGACGTTCTTGCTCGGCCCGGGCGGTCCACCGTTGCATCAGCAGGGAGGCGTCCCGCTCTCGGCTTCAACTTTTGGAAGCTATGAGACTGGCTTGCCGTCGTCGGTGAATATGATGAGCGTCGGCGTTGAGCAATACAGCCAGTCTCTGTCGTCGTCGTCGGCGTCCACTGCTGGGCATGGGATCACCTATGCCAACCTTATGCATGTCCAGGGCATGCACCCGCACCCGCACGAGCCCGGCGACGACCTGCCTGATCTGCCGTTTGAGCTTACCTTTGCTGCTGGAGGGCAATGACAAACGGTGCCGCCCCGCCGTCTGTTGGTGTATTTTCCCTTGGACTATCCGGAGAAACCTGAATGGGAAGGAAGAAACGAAAGGAAGAAGAAAAATATTACTGAAGATCTGCTTCTCTTTCCACGCGGAATCGGCGCATACTCGCGTATCTTGACTGCTATTTCTTGAACTAATCCCGGGATCCCGGGTTATGTCTTATGGACGAGAATTTCACTTCCCTTTGCCTTTACTCGTTGGCTATCTTTCTGAGTTCTCTTGCCCCGGTCATATACAGGTCAGGCGGCTGAAACATGCCGTCTTTTTTCCCTGCTGTTGTCTGTCTGTCTGTCTGTCTGTCTGTCGTCATTTTCTCGTCCAGTCTGTCGGTGTGGTGGGGATACGTTGCTTCACAGCACATTCAACGTTTGGGAACCTTGCACTTCCATGTAAAGGAGGCGGATTAGGAATAGTGGTGGGATGGGATGCCTCCATCAGTTTGCATGCTTTCCTCCGGTCTCGTTCTATGTATATGGTTTTTGGCTGTATGGATTCGTTTCTTTTCTTTTCCTTTTTACTCGTACACTAGCATCTGTTCTTTCAGCGAGGCGTTGGGCATATACCTGTCAATGATGGGTGGTGGTACCGGTTTACTTGGATGATTGCTTCACGGCCGGGAGGGTCCGTTTAGAGCTGAGACTTCGCGGGCCTATGACGGTTATGATGTGATGTGATATGATATGATGAGACGTTATTGGGTTATCTTGTTAGCTCTGTGTCTCGGTCAGGGGATGGTCGGGAGCTTGGTGGGATTGCATATACGCGCTGGCTGGACCGGAACATGAAGTACGAGTACATGTACATACATACTATATAATATCTTGTCATCCTGGCAAATGGCTTTTGTAAATGTATATAATACATATATGCATTTTTGCAGCGAAGAGGAGAGAAAGGGTGGTAAGGAGACATGACTACGGTAATATAGCACATGGTTTCTGTTCATCTTGCTTTGACCTCAGGTTGTTTGAGTGGGGACTCATGCCACCGAATTTGAACTGTCTGATGGCCTACTACCATGAACCTGATGTTCGGCATCCACAACATTCGGCTAGCCGTAGCAATATCATGGCCACTTGGGTGAACACATGAAAGGATGCAATCGTGAAACTAACAAACGGCCAGGTTGTCAGCAGAGGAGGTGGGTTCCCCAGTAAGCTCACAACACTGCCCGGGAGCATTAGACGCAGTGCCGGCTTGCCCCTTGTATATCCACATGGTTACGAACCATAGGAACTCAACGTCGCGGGTGTTATGTAAGTCACTGGGGGGTGTTCTTGATACTTGTGATTCAGGGCCGATCTTCATGACTTGCGAAACGGCAACTGCCCTGGACAGAGTTCGACTGCATGACCGACATAATCGTGCACAAGTTCGATTACATACCATCCACACCTAAGAAGTGTCTAGTCATTCAACAAGTGCCAGGTGAGGTATAAGAAGGTACAGTACATGACTACCGACTTATCTATAGTATAGTATCTGGCGAACCATTCAAGACAGGGTAGATACATGTATGTACGAAGACTTTATGGCAATGGGGCCGTGGACATGATTCTTTCCCACGCGTGGTACTTTCGCATGAGAGCACAACAAGACTGGGATACGCAAACGTTGATTCCGCAGCAGAGAGGGATTCCAGTTTGAGTCGATGATTCCGGTCAGAGATGCCATGTCCAATCCATTGCGGATCAAGGATGTGGAGCTAGAGCACTAAGAGATTGGTGAGGGAAAAGAGGAGGCCTAACTCTTGAGACCCGGAGAGGGCCAACCATCCAAGGCAGGACAGATATGTAGTGTACAAAGACATTTCGAGCACAGCATTACATTCTCATTCTGGAGGAGTCGGTGGAGAAAGTGACTCCCCCGGGAGCTCCAAAGGCCTCGCGTCCATGAACCTGCTCCCTTCCGGGCCCAACGGGCACCCATCCCACTGCAGCTCGATAGCACGCAGTAACAAGGAAGGCAACCTAGGAAAGAAAACAACGCAGAGTGGCTTCCTCATTTGGGGTCCGACGCCCGGTATACCCGGTTTCCCTCCTTCTCGCTCGCCTTCGCGACGCCACCGCGGTATCCGGTTAAGTTGACTGTTCGACTCGTGGCATTAGCATCGAGCCTCGTCGCTGTGCTGGGTCTTTTCCTGGGGCCCGTGTACTCACCTCGCGCTTGATGAAGACCTTTGTGGCCTTGGCGGCTGCTCCACGAGGGCGGCGTGTAGGCGTTGCCACGCTCTCGTCGCTCGAGTCGTCATCCTCGTCCTCCTCGTCGTCCTCCCTGTGCGCGCTCTCGCTGTCGCTGCTCACGGGTATAGGCGAGGTCGCCCGTCCGGGAGACGGTGGAGAAAGGGACTCTCCTGGGAGCTCCAAAGGCCAACACTAGGTGGTCATTGAGGCTACCGCGACTACCTCAAAAGACATGGTGATGGACTTTGCGGAGAGCGATCCAAGAAACCATACTCTCTGTCCTAGCGAGCCGGACACCTCGAGTCGTTGCGCGAGGTAAGGTAGTCAAAACCCGGCGGGTCCGTGAATCGAACAGGGGATCTCCGTCGATTTCGTCGATTTCGAGACGGAGTACTGGCTACTACTACCACTTGTCACTCCTACCCGTAGGGGGTTGAAAGTAGGAAGGGGGCCTTGGATTATATAGTACCTAGCCCCTAGCCAAGTGTGGTGTAGGTACCTTATGGATTGACAGTAGTCAGGTGCAAGTCAACAGTCGCTGATCTAAGCTGCATGCGCTTGTGCGCTCAACCAGGTTGGTCCTAGATGTCGCCAGCTCACTGAGCATTCCGTTGACAGTGGTGTTGGTGGGCTTGATCAGATGAGCGGTGTCATCGTCGTTGTACTGGACACCTTCATCTTCAAGCCGCTCGTGATCTCATCAGTTCTCGCTCATACACTACCTCCGAGCCGAGTATCATTATGCATCTCGGAGTCATCAAAGTTTGAACTCAATGGCGGGCGTACATGGAACCTCATTTAAAAGCTCAAGACACAAGCCAAACACGGTCATCTACCCGAAAGCACGTCACAGATGACGCGTTCACGCGGCGATCTCCTTGTGTATTTATGTAGCAGTAGGATTTGCTGTCGAGCCTGACTCACCTCCAGCTCCCAGCATTCCCGATTCAGCTTCAATGTCAGCATGGCGGTGTTAGTAGTGGGTCTTTCCGGCTGCCGAAACCGGCTCCGGTCCATTCAGGTTTGGAGCAGAGGCACGAGAGAATTTTCCGGATCCTGCACCTTTTCAACGTTTCGGATATGCAACGGAGATACGAACCGGACTGCACTCACACTTACAGATCTACGAGAGGAGTGTATAAACAATATAAACACTCCTATTCCCCACCGCCCCTGTCCTCAAACTATCACATCCGCCTCGACTCCTTACCTAATCATCCCCTTCATCTACCCCCGATACCCGATGACGGCACCACCCGACCCCCCGCTGAGCCCGCTCCGACGCCTCGCCCACGGCGCGCTGCGCGAGTCCGGGCTGGGGTCGGTGTACTCTGCCGGCCTCGACGCGGGGCTGATCATAGCCTGCCGAACGAGCCGTATGTTTGCCTACGGCGCGAGCTCACTCATCCTCGCCCTGTTCTTCTCCGAACTCGGCGTTACTGACTCCCGCATCGGGCTGTTCATGACGCTCACGCTAGCCGGTGACGTTGCGCTCTCCCTGCTGCTCACGCTGACCGCCGACCGGGTCGTGGGGCGGCGGCGCACGCTGCTTCTGGGCGCGCTGATGATGATGGCGTCGGGGGCGACGTTTGCGCTGTCGGAGAATTTCTGGGTCTTGTTGGCGGCCGCCGTGGTTGGAGTTATCAGCGCCACAGGGGGGGATTTCGGCCCTTTCCGCGCCGTGGAGCAGTCTATTCTCTCGGAGCTAACCAGGCCGGCGACACGGTCTGATGTATTGGTGTGGTATGTCACCATGTCGAGTCTGGGGTCGTGCATCGGGACGGAGCTGTCGGGGCGAATTATTGAGTGGCTCCGCGCGCGGGACGGCTGGACGCTCCTGGATGCGTATCACGGGTGTTTTTGGCTGTACACGGCCATGGGAGCAGTTAATGTTGCGTGCAACATGCTGCTGTCGAAAAGATGCGAGTTGAGGAGCGTCCAGCAACAGCGAGAACAACAACAGCAACAACAACAGCAACAGCAACAGCAACAACAACAAGATGCACCCCAGGCTCACAGCAGCGATGAGACGGAGCCGCTGCTCCAGGGGCATCAAACAACATCCCATTATGGCGACGATTCTCAGCCAGCCGACAACACCCCAAAGACCGCCAACTCTCCCCCATCGCAGAGCAGCTGGGTCCCCCAAATATCCCACGACACCCTCGCCATCATGACCCTCCTCTGGCTCCTTCTAATGACCGACTCCCTCGCCGACGGGATGTCCTCCATGTCCCTCACCTCGTACTACCTCGACAGCAAATTCTCCCTCCCCAAATCCTCGTTAGGCGACATCCTCTCCATCGCCTACTTCCTCGCCTCGTGCTCCGCCATCTTCGCTGGTCCACTCGCACGCTACATCGGTCTCGTCAACACCATGGTGTTCACACACATCCCTTCCTCAGCCGCTGTCCTTCTATTCCCCTTTGCGCAGAGCATCCCGGCCACGATCGCCCTGCTCCTGGTGCGGGTCGGGCTAAATAACATGGACCAGGCCCCGCGCGCGGCGCTGATTGCGGCTGTTGTGCGCCCTGAGGAGAGGACGGCGGCAATGGGGATTACGGGGATGCTAAGGACGCTGGCGTCGACGACGGGGCCGAGTATTACGGGTGTTTTGGCGGATGCTGGGCTGTTTTGGGTTGCGTTTGTTGTGGCTGGGGCGTTGCGGCTGGCGTATGACTTTGGGGTGTTTGCCATGTTTGTTAATATCAAGCTGCACAGGCATGAGCAGACTGATGAGGCCGAGGGTGGTGAATCAGGAGCAAGCGAGAGGAGAGCATCAGCCGATGGGGAGAATGTATGATGAGTCCAAGGTGGGATGCAGTTATTGCACAGTACAAAATAAAAGGGCGGAATTACAGCATACAAAAATGGAGGTCGGGTTTGGTATGGTACATATTTTCAGATTGCATTCTGGTAGAAAAAAAATAATCACCAATAATGCCATCAATGCTCCCAGAAGAAATCATCATGAGCACACTGTATTCTAGATAAAATGTAGAGAAAAACAAGAAAAAATATCAGGACGAAACGCGATTTGAACGCGTGACCTACCGGACTGCAGCCGGTTGCTCTACCCCTGAGCTATTCGTCCGATCGGGTATCCATTATTGGTTGAAAGGCCGTCACCAGTGCCTTTTGTTTTCTGGGCATACTGAAGAACGACTCCAAGAACTGCATCTCACCAATACCAAGTATGCGGCTAAAGGTGAGTAGGAACCGTGACTTGTACAGTATCAAAACCTCACTGGGACTTGAATCTGTATAAACTTCATCCAAGTTTACCTCGCTGATCCGCAATCTCTGTGCCTTGCCCAACTGAACATCACCTCAGACACTCTGCACAAACCGATTGCCCCTACTCCTCCCACACACACCAGCTCAAGGAAGCCATAACCAGTAAGGCGACGGCAGGAACAGTAACAGTATTCAAGGCATTAGTCAAGATTAACTACCCAAGCAGTTATATCACTCAATCCATCGGTAAGCAATCTCTCCCATCTTCGTCTTAACCAGCCCAGCAGGCTTTCCAGTAGTACCATAGTCAACGTAAAGTTAAGTTAGTCTCCAGCCCGAGTCTAGTCTCTAGACTTCCAGGATGTTGGCGCAACACCATGACCATGATGATGATGATGATGTGCACCAGATAAATCGTACTTTATGCAACCCAGCCCAACCCAACCCAATCTGAGTCTCTCTTATAAAGCCCCAAGCTGGCAAGCTCATCCCGCGTCAACTGGTGGCCAGACACGGTTAGATACCTGACCCAGCGCTGTCACTCGCAACAGACGGCGGCAGGTTGAGTAGAAACCTAGCGCCTATGCTTTCCCTTATGTTTCCTGCTTGATGGTGCTGATGGTACCAGCGCATCATGATGCATCGCCGCTTCCTGTTCCATGAACGGCAGAGGCAGCGCCCGAGCAGTCCAGTTCTCCGGCACCGCTGTTCCGCTCCCACTACCCTGGCTCTCGGCTGGGGCGTAGGGATTCTCATACGGCAGGACCCATGCCTGCATTGCATGCCAGTGTCAGCCAAACTCCTATTCAAAGTTTAAACTGCTCCAGTATTGAGCGACTTACATGATCCCGCGGGGCATCCGCAGGGTCCGGGGACGGAGGAACGTATCTCTTGCCCTGCCCAGCGGGACCCAATTCCTCCAGATAGCTCTGTATGAGCCCACTCGCGTACGGTTCATAATACGGAAGCTCGGGAGACGTAACCTGCTCCGAGCTGCCGCCCGATCCGTAGCTTAGGTTCGGAGTCTCCCCCAGCCTCATGCCCCGGGCAAACCGGTCGCTGAGCTCGGCACCCAGGTCTTCCTCGCTGCCACTGCCGTACCCTCCGACACTGTCATAGTCTTCAACATAGCTGCCATCGAGAATGGCCAGCTGCTTTGTCGCCGATGGCCGCTTATTGGGGTCCATGCTAGCCATTTTCCGGATTGTCGCATACTCGTCCAGCTTGGAGATCTCGACCAGCCATCTGTGCAGTTCAGGGGCGCGGTAGTGCGAACAGGATTTCCGGAAGTCATCGCTTCGAGCCCAAACGATGGTGGCAAACAGAGACCAAATGTCCACCTTGGTGGTCTGTTTTTGCCGGTTAAACACCTCTGGCGCCATGAAGGGCTCTGTCCCCGCCGCCGTTCTGGCCAGCCCGGGGTCGTTTGAGAGACCAAAATCGCCGAGGCAGAAGCGGTAGTTGCCCGTCTCGTCGTATTCCCAGAGGACATTTTCCGGCTTGACGTCGCGGTGGACAATGTTGTGCGAGGCGATGCATTGCAGGGCGAGCAGCATCTGCCGGAGGACAATCTCAGACAGGGCCTCGGACCCAGCCCCGTCCTCCTTCTCAATCAGGGTCTTTAGGTTCCCTTCCATTAGCGGCATAAAGATTTCGCCCCAGCTGTCTTTCTCGCTGGCGTAGTCAAAGATTTCGAGAATGTGCTCCTAGCGTCCGGGGTCAGCAGCGGGACTTAGGGGTTGGCGGTGGAATTGCTCACATGCTTGATCGAGTTGTCCTTGTTGATGCGAAACAGATTGGCCACCTCTCGCGTCGCAAAGTCGAGGTTCTTCCCCGAGAGATTGTGGAACTTCTTCACAGCCATGACTCTGCCGTTGGTTACGTCCAACACCCACCAGACGGTGCCGTACGAGCCCCCGCCGACTCTATCGCCCTGTATGTACTTCTTGTTTCGCGAGTTGCTTGGTCCCAGGGTGTACGGCTCGTCCTTGTTGGGGAATCCATACAGCCCGTCCGACTGCCATTGGATCTTGAACTGGAACCACTTGTCATGGCCAAAGGCAACACGCGGATTGATGCCTCGAGCAACAAGGACAGACCTCGAACCGGAGCGGAACCGAATCGTGTATCCGTGGGTGTGTACGAGGGGCTCAACGGTGCCATTGTCGGAATGATCGCACAGCAGCACGGCACCCGTCTCCTTGACCAGCTCGAACGAGGCGTGGACGATGGAAATGTCGGGCGAGCCTTTGGTGCTTGAGCTTGTGTTGGGCAGGTATATATCGGTGTCACCGCAGCCCAGCGTGAAGGATTGCTTGTTGGGGTTGGAGAAGTCGATCCACAGCCCAATATTGTTGTTGACTCGACAGCGTAACTCGTCGTTCTCGGGCAGGTCGACGGCTTTCCTAGCGGCCGGGTTCACTGGCACAAGTACAAAGGCTGGAGTAAGGGGTTCCGGAGGCGCCTCCTCTTCAGTATAATAACCTTCCTCCATTGTTGAATGCCCGTGGTACGCTGGTTGGCCGGGGAGGGGCGCATCAGGAAACGCAAATGCGGGGCCGACTTCGGTTGGCAACACGTTTAATAAGGGACTGATTACGTTACAGTCTGCCGAGACAAGACCATCAAACTCCCCATGATATTACTTCGCGTCTCAGGTCTCTTGTGTCCGGGATGGCCGCTCAGATGCCCGAAGTATGTTGTTGCCAAAGCACCGTGCTGGAAGACCTTTGCGGATGTGATTCACGCAACGAATGACGGCCGGAGTTGTTGGATGGTCCGGTCCAAGCAGCGAGCGCTCTGTTAGACGCAGTCAAGGTAACGTTGGAGCTCGGCTGCGTCCGCATGTGCTGGGGGCGCGGGGGCTCTATCTGGCAACTTCTGTCCGAGGCACGACTGGATGCTGTACAATTGCTCAGTCGCTGAAAACCAGCCCACTCATTGGCTCCGGCTACCCGTCGGCATGACCCATGCTCACCCCTTTTAGGCAGATGGTTCTGCGGGCAGCAACTGGACCAGGCCTTCCATTTTGCGGGCTGAACCAAGCAACCAAGCTCTGTCTTGCCAATAATCAGGCCCGAAGGAACGCCATTCGGGCCTCAAGCCCAGCCTGTTGGGTCCAAACGACGCCAAAATGCAACGTCCTTTTTGGAATTTGGGGATTTGTAAATCTTGTGCCTGCGAGCGCGCCGAAAGGGTATGTATCCGGAGCGGTTCCGCATACGATGGTGTGTGGCTATGGACCCATGTCGAAGATGGACCAACAGCAGATTCGCGAGCATAGTGTAACTACGGCAATTGCAGCCATCGAACCCGGCTGGCTGAGCAATGCGGCCTGCCGGTCCTTGGTGTCGGTCGTGCTCATCATCGAGATGTACAAAGAATGACAATCGTGGCGCGAGCAGGGCAATGCGGCTAGCCGTCGCGGCCCTCGGTGTCGATGTGGGCATCCATTTCTATTCTGGTTGAAAAGGCGGAAGTCGAGAGACCTCATCGATGTCGAAAATACTGTGTCACAGCAGTCACTGTGCACCCGAAACTGCTAAACGCGGAGACCATTTCTGCTATACGGGGAGTAGCGGATCTGACCTTGTGGCGCAACGCATTGCGCACGCTCCTCTTCCCACCTATTTTTGCAGGGCAGAAAAGCCAACTACATGACTGCGCACATTTCCATACACTGTCGAATCTAGCTACATAACAGTGCCTCTGGCTCTCTGGCTTCCTGGCCCTCTTGAGGGTTGAAAAACTTAAATCTGCAATAAAAATCAAATGCGCGCTATTTAACAAAGCTGATATAAGCAACCCTAACCCTGATCATGGTCAACGTCCCGGTCAGTGGCTTCAGCCTGACTGGATTCCGCTGTATAGTCATCGCAAAATCAACGACGGTTTCAATCCACCTAAGATATCAAACGAAGCTATAGGATTCATATAGAATTCAATCGAATGGCAATAGCTTCAGTTAATTGTAATGGATTCAATCAATTGTTGAATGTGGAAAAATTGGTGGCAGGGATCGATGTTGACGGCCTGCAAGGTGGCCTGGAATTGAAGGTGGAACGTTGAGCCACAGAGCCACAGGTAGGACCCACTACTCCCCGTATAGCAGTTTTGCTCTCACCGTTTAGCAGTTTCGCTACGCACCAACGTTGGAGTGGAGCGATGGCGTCGGGGCGCTAGGGCCCCTGGGACCAGGCTTCAAGCGGGGGATCTTCAGTTGAAGTTCAGGCTGCTCCAGCTGCAGAGTCCAGCCCCACTCGCTGGACACAGTGTGTAACACATCAACTGATTACAGTGCTTCCAGCAGTGCCGTCATTGACCTTGGATAACCGCCATTTGTCATTTGAGGAATTTTTGTCACATTCCACCGTTAGGAGTCCAACCGCGCGGACAGCATTTGATCCCAAAGACACCACAACTCTACCACACAAAACCAAACGACTAGGTGTATCTTAATTCTCACCATGTCCCACCCGCGAGCCCTCCTCCAATCACTCCCCCGGTCTCTACCTCTACCTCTAGCGACGAGGCTGAGGCTGAGACGCCTTCCTACATGTACAACTTCCTCCTCGCCACACACAACCACCACCACCTCAACAACACCACGCACAACAGCCCGATACGCAAGCAGCAACAGCAACAGCAACACTTCAGCAACAAGCTTCCTCCAAAACTCCCCCTCCCCCCCGCGCCTCCCCGCCGACCAACAAGCCGAATTCGAGCGCCTCCAGCGCGCCGCCGAAGCCGCTCTCTCCTCCCACAACACCCTATCCTCACCATCATCATCATCATCATCACAACAACAACAACAACAAGACCAGCCACTGACTACCTCCCGGCACGTCTCCATCCCATCCACCACCAGCACACAGGCGGTAGGGCAGGGTGGTGATGTTGAAAGTGGTGAAAGCGTAAGCGCGGGCAGTTTCAGCGCTGGCATCCGGCAGGGCGCGCCGCCTGAATTCGACGGCGACAAGAACCCCAAGACCGGGGAGGTCGGGGGGCCGAAGAACGAGCCACTTCGCTGGGGCAGTGGTGGGGATTGGAGTTATAACGGGCGGGTTACTGATTTTTAAACCTACCTCTCCTCTTGCCTACCTTACCCCTTACGTCTTACCTACCTCTCCTGGTGGCAGTACCGGGTTACGGTCAAGGTTAACTAAGTACGGAGTAGGGGTGGTGCTTGGGGGAGGAAGGGAGGGAGGGATGAATGAGTTAGAAGGCTATAAAAACCCCAAGACCGGCGAAGTCGGGGGCTTTAAGAACGAGCCACCTCGCTGGGGGAGTGGTGGGGATTGGAGCTATAACGGGCGGGTTACTGACTTTTGAACCTTACCTCTTCTCTCCTGGCACCGGGTTGAGGTTGGCTGAGTATGAGATGGTGATTGAGGACTGGAAGGGATGCAGATGATAGATGGATTGGTAGTCGAACCTCATGCCTGGATCGCCGGAGCAGAAGGTCGTTGTATTGTATAGCATCGCGATATGTAGAATAATACCATTTTGTAGCCATAACAAACAAACCAAAGCTGTTCGATACCACTGCAATGCTAATCTGAAGCAAGCAAAACATCGTAGGGGATGGTATCTACCGAGTATTGTAACAAATGCCTCCATAGGCGGACAGGTATTCTAACAGTAACAACCGCCTAATGCAGACGATCGGCTCTCAACAGCCTCCCTTAGGTTGGGGTTGGACTACTTCTCGGAGTCAGCTTGAACAGCAGCAGCAGCCTTGCCCTCAGCCTCCTCCTCCGCACCAGTGCCGTTCTGCCTTGCCTCACCTCCCGCCTCTCCCCCGGTCCCCTTCTCCTTCACCTCTGCCACGGTTTCCTTCCCAGCATTCTCCCCGGACAGCACATCGCCACGCCCACACTCCTCATCCCCCCGCCGCTCGTCGACCTCCATCTCACCACTACCCTCCCGGTGTCGATCATCCGTCTCTCGGTGCTGGTGCTGCCTCTGTCCGCCCGTCGGAGGGCCACGATTCTCCTTATCCCCTTCACTCGGCGGTTTGCTGCTCGCCGCGGCACTAGACTGTTTCCACCATTGTCCCGGGTGAATCTCCCCGGGCTGCCTCTCTCCATTCTTTGACACTCCATTCTCACCAACCCCATTCCCAGCGCCACTATTACCATTACTTCCTCCCAAAACAACAGCGTCCCCATTCCGCGCCCCACCAGCCCAAGCAGGCGTGAGCGCCACCTCCCTCAGCGCCTTGCGTATCCTCTCGCGCCGTGCCTTGCCCCTCAACCGGTTCTGAGACTCGCCGCCATTGACAACCCAACGCAGGCCGATGATCATGAAGCTGATCCCGTCATGGATCGCCCGCTGCTTGTTCTCGGTGCCGTCACCAATGAGCCCACCAAACTCCCTGCTCCGAATTCCAAACCGCGTGGAAGACGCGTACTTTTGCAGCCGGGGCAGGATGAGCAACGTAACATGCAGATCTCGGTTAGGTGGGACCTGCATGGGCCCGTTCTTCGGCGGTTCCGTCAGCACGAGCATGTTGGAAGAGGACGACTGCTGCACAGGTGCCACTGCGTTCCCGACCCCTTTGACATCCGACACGCTATACCCCTCATCAAGGCCCAGCATACTGACGTCCACATCCTCGGGCCACTCGCCCCTGATCCAGCCGGCATGGATACACGCGGCCACGACGTCCGAGTCGTCCGTGTACACATCGGTGCCCCACAACGCGCGCCGCGACGTGATCTCCTCACGCGCGGCCGGAACCAGATGTTCCTTTCCAATCTTCATGGTCAGCGTACAGTTCTCCTTGCCCTCAATCAGATCCCACGGCAGCGGTTTCGGCGTGGACGAGTACCCGCTGCGGGGTGGGCGGCCGGTGCGCGGGTCCTGCAACCGGGCTCGCTTCAAGATCGGTTCGTACACGACATCGCCGAGGTGGAGCCTTGGGCGGTCCGCGACACTGTCCAAAACGGCCTTGGACGAGACAATGTGCCGCGGTTTCGGTAGAATGACTGGCGACGGGCTCCGGACCGGTGGGGCAGGTCTTGTGCTCGAGTTGCCGGCGGCCGGTCGTGGGGCAACGTGATGGTGGTGATGATGGTGGTGAGCACCCGGTAGATCCCTGGCGAGCGCCGACGTCGGAGAGGGGACAGGCGTGGAACCCTTGATGGCTTTGAAAGGAGTATTGCCCGAAAGCCCCGGCGATGACATCTGTTCCAATGGGTGATGGGCATGATGATGGTGGTGATGGTGACTAGACACGTTAGACCTGCCTGTGGATCGAGGGGGGGAAAAAAAAGGAGCAACATACTGGTGGTGGTGATGAGCATGAGGTTTTGCCTTCTTTGCCCGACTTGCGACCGGAGTTTGTCTTCCTGTGCTGCCCTCTTCGTCCCGTCCGTCTTCTTCCTTCACTTTCCTCCGCTTACGACTTGCCGGAGCACTCTTGGCCATCTCTATGCCGGATTCCTGCGGCGGTCCGTCGTCATCCCGGCGAAGAGAACCGGCGTGGCCGTATGCAAGCTGAGCTCCCGTAGGAACCGGGCTCGATATTGTGCCGACGCCGCTACCAATCCCCGAAAACATACGTCCAAACTCGCTTTTGATTCCCGGTTCACCGGCTGGGCCGGCGAGTTGGGGCTGCGCTCCTTGTACGGCCTGCGGAAGGGGAGAAATGCGGCCTTTGCGGTTGATCTCCTGAATCCCTAGCAGGTTTCGCTGATGCCCATGTGGGGCGCTCAGCTCGTCCATTGTTCGACTTCGAGGCTGCTCGTACATGGACGGCCCGACGGAGCTGTAGGCGACTGACGGCGGGGGAACCGAGGCTTCCTCCCGGGTACGCGATGGCGGCTGCTGCTGTTGCGGTCGGTCGAGATGCATCATAGTCATGCGCTGCCGGTCTGGAGACTCGTACGCCTGGGCATGTGCAGGCCCCGGCGGGGCGATGCCCGGTTGGTGATGAGAATGGGAAGGCAGTAGGTGGCGTTCGTTCGGCGCGGAAGCGTAGCCATGCGGTCCGTTGTAGTGGGGTGCTGTCGTAGGTGGGTAGTCTGGGTGTCTCGGTAGGTGCATGGCAGGATCATACGGGGCTCTGCTCGGCTCATACCCGGGCCTTGACCAGTGGACTTGGTCTCTGGGGTCCGGGCCCATGCTGTAGGGTGGTCCCCGCTGATCCATCTGCCGTGCGTACTCTTGCGGATGCATCCCGTGTGGCCGTGACGTCTCTACCCCCGACATAACCCTCTCTCTCCGCTCTCTCTCTCGGAGCTCTCTCTCGCGGAGCTCCATCTCCCGTTCCCGGTGCTCCCGTTCTCGCTGTTGTCGCTCCCGTTCGTGGCGCTCCCTTTCCGACATGTACCTTTGCTCATCATATTGCATCACCCGAATGGGACGCTCTGGGTTGTATTCCTCCGATTGCCGAAAATCTTCCCGATGCCCATACAGTTCGTTTGGTGGCCTCCCCGTATCCACAGGCCGAGCAGGCCCACCACCTGGATATGGCTTCGGCGAAGTGCCAGGCCGTGGAGGGACAGCGCTTGCAGGCATGCGCCCAGTCTCCCTGCCTTGCTCTGCCACGGGCAGCGGATGCCCTCTTTGGGGGTATGCCTGTGGCGTGCCGTACCGTTGGATTTCAGGTGTCGAGTTATATGCGGGCGGTGACGTGGCGGTGGGTGCTCGCGGGTCTCGGCTCTCGTACATCCTGTGGTGGTCCGGAGTCTGGGGCCGTCGGTAAGCGGCATAGTCGGACACAGTTGCCGAAGGCATCCTCGGGGACGCGTGCATCGACTGGGTGTAAGCAGGCCCAGGGCCCGTCGAGACCGTTGGAGGATACTGCGAGGGTGCGGCTGGGTCTCTTGCCGGGGTGGGACCGCCTAACATGGACGATATCGACATGCTGCTCCCAGAGCTCCCCGTTCGAGGTAGCGTGTCTAACGCAGGCAGCTCGCGGCCCCTTGGGAATGCCGTCGGGGGCCCGACGGAGACTGGCGGGGGGCGCGGCTGCGGCAAGCCATATGGTCCACCGAGGGTGGGACCGCCCGGGCCTTGGCCCTGCTGTTGGGGCTGTTGCTGTTGTGGAGGTGAAGTCGGTGGCGGCATGCCTCGAGCCATCTGGGGACCCGACGATATTGACGAAGTGCTTTGGTGTCTCGAATGCGCGGCAGGCGGCATCGGGCCCGGCACGGGTTCTGCAGGATATTGTCGGGACGGCGGATAGTACGGTGGAGGGTCGGACTGTTTTCGCGAGTGCAGTTCGGGATATGAGGCAGCTGTCGAGGAGGGATGTGATGGGGCGGGTGGATACGGTGGTTGCGACGTCGCCGGCGTCGGGAAGGATGGACGGCTGAAAGGCGAGGCAGCGTTCCTGGAGAACGGGTGTTGAGGTGGCGGCTGCCTCGAATCCATGGCGCCCGATTTTGTTGGTCGAAATAGTCCTTCGTGAGCGCCCAAAGCCTTTCAAAAGCTCATGCGTGCCTGGTTGGTGCGACCTTGTCCCGAGCGATCCAAAACCACTGAAGCGAGAGTGGTTGCCACAAAAACTGGCCGAGGATTCTAGGCGCGCGTTGTCGAAACGCGCAAGCCGACGACGTGAATCTCGAGCTCTGTCGAGGGAAAAGAGAGGCGGCGTTGGATAGCTGGAAGCATGATAATTTTTTGCGCCGTGTCCCCCGTTTGAGGTTTGGTCTGGGGAAAGAAAAGGTAGGATCAGCCGACATGCAGATTTGGGTGCGCAAACTGAGCAAGCTCCAACTGGTCTGAGCTCGCCCTGCTGCTGCGCCAAAGAAAGGCCCCTGTCTGTGATTGGGCGATGGGCCGTTGCACGGAAAGAACAGACCCGGGTGAGCAGGGACTAGGGTGGGGCGCTAGCGGTACTTTGACAACATGGGCCTGACGCCAAAAACGATGGATCACTGCATTGATGACATCTTTCTCACCAGCCACCATCACCATCACCGCCAGTTTGCTCTTTCCATCTTGGAGATCCAAACCTGAAAAAGGACAAAACCATACAAATTGGGTGTCAGTGCAGACTGCACGTCAGATGGAATGACAGTGAGCAATCAGCAACAGTGGCATCTGCTAGGTATCTACGAAATGGATTGCTGAAGCCGGATCGGATGGAATGCTACCTTGGCGGACACGGAGAGCGGTGAATCAATGCAGAGAAGCGATCCCGCGGTACGGTATGGTCGAGGACCCTGGGATCGACCAAAAAGAGGTGAACAGTTACCGGTAGCTTAGTTAGGCAAGCAATAGGAAAATAAGGGTGGAAGCCGAATAACCACAGCACGATTCGAGTTTGGAGAAACCAGATTGGATGCATATCCATATCTGTACTCCCTACATCGCAGTTAAGCCTGTTCCTGAGGATAAACATTAGGACGCATCCTCTACGATACCTACTGTTATCCATCCTACACTGGCCCGCTCCCTACTCGTCAGGAGCTACATAATCGCATCTGACCCACTACTTCGTAGAGGGTCAGGACGGTTGATTCGCGAAAAACGGTTGATTCGCGAAAATACACCACTACATGCCCTACCATACAAATTTGTTAGCGAACCAATGTCATACCGTCTTCTTGCTCATATCGCTTGCATGCATACCTATCCATTTGAACCACGCCAGAGCTACGCAGAATGAAGCCCAGAATCAATTGCTAGGCATGACCTATACTCGATACAGTGCTATAGATGCAATTCTTTAACTGTATTTGTAGCCTGCACTTCGGCATGGAAGCGATTCAAGCGAAATGTTGAGGGTGGTGGATGCAACTATTGTGAATTACAGCGTGGTGGATGCGCTGTGTTGCGAATGACTGTTGTGGATAAATCACTAAGTATGAAATTTGATGGTATGATGCACGAAAAATAGTACACTTGAAATTGTATGGGAGTCGCTAATAAATGGATGTACCTAAATTTTCACGAATCAACCGTCCTGACCCTCTACGAAGTAGTGGGTCAGATGCGATTATGTAGCTCCTGACGAGTACTCAAAGGACAATTCCCCAATGTAGCCAATGTGCGCGATGAGGTGTGGAGGAGCGGGATTTGCCCCAGCGGGGTAACCCTGCGGAAGGGCCTTCAATGCGGGGAATCCGAGGCAACCACATCTTTAAAAGCTTGAGAATGCTTTGATCGAAATTAGTTTCCTCGCTCGGCAACGGAAGCTGATGTCAGGTCGACGGCTCGGGAGAGATGGGCAACAACTGAAGCAGGTTACACAGCCAACAATTGCCCGCAGGTTTGGTGCATCTGCATGCCGTGCCGGTGCTTGGATCACCAACCACATCGTCATCCGATCGACTTCTCCATTGGGCAGCTACCTAATTAGGTAATTCTGTGAGTACCTGATCAACGTTGTCTTGCAACGTTACGATGACTGCTCGATGGTACGAAGTAGAGGTTTTGCAGCTGTAAGTTACTCCAATGTCCTTGAATCGCAACATAACACAGGTAAATATCACCAATCTCAGGTGTGGATTTGTTGCTGGGACTGGAGTTGACCGGAGTTTATTCTCACCGACCGTCGACTCGGGCCTGGCTTACCCGCGACGGTTGACAACACCATGACAACAAAGCCACCTGCAGCCTAGAATACCGGTACCTACACTCGGGTGGGAAATCATCACGCGACCGCTCTTCAAGTCTCCACCACATGAAATATCGATCAAGTCGGGCTCGGTGGCCTGGGAACTGGGGTCAAACCGTCAATCTCTTCGCCCCAATGCTCTAACAATACTATACGCTAGTCAAAGCGACAAAGACCGGCCTCGCCCGGATGACGCGTTGCAACAAGCCCGCCATCTGCCTGCTGTGCTTGTGCAAACTTGCTAGTGCTGTCTAATGCTGGCACCAGGAACCATGACACGACACTCAACCTTGGCTGCTGATTCCCACAGGTCAAGCGTTCGGAACTCCCGGCGCCGCTATCCCCAACAGCTCTGCAAACTTGGGGGTGCCCAGTCCCGTCACAGGATCCCATCCGGGCGTGGCATTCCACCGTGCGCCGTTTCTAAATTCGCGCCTCGAGGTGCAGCCCACCCCGGCACCGCTCGTGATGTCGGTAAATGCAGCCGAATTGTTGTACAGCCATGGGTTCAGGAAGCCGAGCGGCGGCTGACCCTGTGTTTTCCTGGCCGCGTTGAGGAGTGCCACAATGCCGGCGACGACGGGGGACGACGCGCTGGTGCCGCCAATCAATGCCCTACTCCCTTTGTCAATGACAACAAACCGTGATCCTTGGGCCGCGACGTCGGGGATTCCGCGACCCGTGCGGTTGAAATACGGTGAGTATGTGTTGCCGATGCGCTCGAGGTACTGGGACACGGCGGCCTTCTGCCAGGTGGGTTGCTCGTGGTACATGCTGAAGCCGCCGCTGGAGAAGTCTACTGCCCGCTCGGGGTTCGTTCCCGTTGTTCCCCCTACGGCCGTCACCCACGGACAGCCTGCCGGAAAGGTCGGCTCGAAATACGTCGAGTTGTCTGTGTTGCGGATGCACGAGTTGCCAGGGCCCGAGTCACCGGACGAAAAGAGGACCGAGACCCCGCGAGCGCCTAGCTGCATGAACATGTTGCACACCTTGAGCGCGTACTCTCTTGGCACCGACTGCTCCTCTTCTCCGTACGACGTCGAGATGGTTTGCGGGAGCGCCGAGTCTGGTTGTCTGGTCATGTAGGTGAGCCACTCGAGGTATGGCTCGTTGCTACCAGGCGGCGTGGGCTGGTCTGCCGTCGGCACCAAAGGGCCACGGCCGGCTGTGCTGTATTCGAGGATGGGAATTGGATGGCTGATTCCGAGGATGTACTGGACGTCAAGGTTTGCCTCAGCTGTTTATCGTCAGTTCTTGGGCTATCCTCACAACTTCCAGGACGGATACCGGGGATAATTCTCACAGCTATCGTCCCGACTGTTCTGATCATTCAGACCACCATTAACCAGCTCAACGGAGAAGTTTTGGCCCTTGGCAGCGGGAACATAACGTTCCACAAACTCCCCCAGATCCTTATATCTGGCGTACTCTTCAAGGAACGAATTAAACGCGATCTTATTCTCCGGGCCGGCTGATGCCGTGTAGTTAATATTGTAGAGCGACTTGAGGCAGTCCGGGGTGACCGAGTTCTCGCATACTTCAGCAGCGTCTACCGCGGTGGCAAACGTCCCCTTCGTAACCGGAGTCGCAGCACCGACAGGCTCAAGACGAACCGTCTCAAAGATGGTCGACTTCCGCGCGCCCAGCCGTCCAAACCGGGTGGTGGGCTGCACAAGATCGATATGGGCAGCAACCTCATCCGGAACACTGTACTCGAGGGTCCGGAGCTTCAAAGGTCCATCCCCCTGCGCGTACTGATACTGATACCAGCCAAAGTCGGCTTCCAGCAGCTCATTGGCGGTCCGCACCGTCGCGCTGAAGGAGACCAGGTCGTTGTCCACCAGCGGCTCCTGGATGCCGTGCTCGCGCAGCCATGTGGTGACGGCCGAGGTCGCGGCGTCTGACGGAGCCGTATAAGCTCGCACCTCGTCGCGTGTCATGTGCATGCCGTAGTTTGGATGCCCCGGCGTCGACATTTCGAGCACCGCCTGCTCCAGTGCAGCGGCGTGTTGCTGCTTGAGCGCCACACGCAGGAAGACAGTCTCGTCTGGCGCTGCCCTGCCAACCTCCTTCCAGCCCTTCGGGACCGCGGCGAGGCGGTCCATGACACGGGCTGACGCCGCGACGAAGAAGAGAAAGTGCCGCAGCATGGTTGAGGCTAGGCAATGGTGTTGACGGGCCGGACGCTTCCAAGTTGTGGAGGCTGCTCAGCCGGCTGGAGAGTGACTGTGAGCAGCAGACAGCTTTAACGGCAACGGAGTGACTCTGCCGGTCTTTTATCCGTGGAGGACCGGACGGGTCCCATTAGACGGGAGGTAGGTCCTTCCCAACTGTCAGCTTGCTAGAAGTACCTTCCCAGCACATGCATCCATCGGAGGTTTTGTCCCAACTCAGCCCATGGCACCCACAGCCCTCCTCCATGTAAGCGATAGTCTGTCTAAGGTACCTCCCGTCAGGTTGCAGTGTCGTCCCATGGTAGTAGCGACCGGCACGCGAGTCACCCTTCCCCTCGGAAAACGCACCACATCCCGCACCTCGCGGCTCATAGCAACAGCAACCGCGCCTATTCCCGTCCCAGGTAACACCCGGTCCCGCTCTCTTGGCACCTTCTCGCTCTGTCTTGTCGATCTCTCTCGCTAAAATGGCATCATGTAAATTGGGTCTTTAAGGGATCCCTTACTATTTGCTCGTTTCCTGTTTGTTCGTTTCCTGTTTGTTCGTTTCCTGTTTGTTCATTTCCTGTTTGTTCGTTTCCTGATTCATATCCTTACACCCTCGCGGTTATCCCGAAGCGGCAAGTGAGCAGAGTCATAAATTACCCAGGGAGTAGCTCAAAGTCCTCCGCATCCGCGTCACACCCGTGCTCCTATCGTGCCCACTGTTATATGGTTTATGTTCGCTCAACAAATTGGACCGGGAGAGGAGAAGCATCACTGCGCTCCTGTAGTCCGTGACTTGGACTCGCGAGAGATGGTGACAAGACGGATTTGAGGCATGTTTCACTATCATACCGACATCAGTACTACATTGATAAGAAACCCCTTTTTGCCTTATGTTGTATCTTAGTAACATGGTGCCGTGACCGGTGACACCTCCAACGCCATACCCAAACATCATACACAGCCCACAAATCAAGATAGGTCCCATTCACACCGTCTCCCTCGCCTTCAAGTTCTCCCTCCACTCCTCCTCCGCCCCAGCGGAATGCTTCGACAATCTCTTCCCCGCCCCCGTCCCAACCCCACCATCCTCATGTTCAACCGCTCTACTCGGCCGCCCACTCGGTACAGCAGTCGTCCGGTCATCCACATCCACATCCGCCTCATCATATCCCCCTCCCGCAGTCACACCTCCTGCCGAGTAAGCTTCCTTCCTCCTTGTCCAGTATCCCTCGTCCCTCTTCATGCGGGTATGGTAGCCGGGGGGGGTCCATTCCTTGGACCGCCAGGGCTTGAGCCCGGGCTCGCCGTGCATCTGGTCGACGTTTTCAAGGCTGAGGCTGACCGATTCGTACAGGAAGAACCAGGTCACCAGGGCCGCGACGACGTTGGTCCCTACGAAGACGTAGCCGTAGGAGTAGGAGATGCCGTGGGTGGCGAGGGGGGTGAGGAAGGAGATTAGGACTTTTTTGCGATGTGCATGTTAGTATTGTATTCAAGTAAGATGAGAAGAGGAGGGGGTGAGTGGAAGAGGGCTTACAGTTGCCCAACCAGTTACCCGCCGTGGCAAACGAAGCCTGCTTGGAGCGGGTGCGGAGGGGGAAGGTCTCGCCGATGACCACCCAGCAGATGGGACCCCATGTGGCGGCGAAGGAGGCGATGAACATGGCAGCCGCGACAATCATGATGATTCCTGAGGTTGTGTTCTCCTCGGGGTTCAGGGCGGTGCCCATAGACGCGAACACGGCCATCCAGACGGCCTGCCAGATGGCACCAAGGAAGAGCGGCCAGCGCCGACCGTACCTCTCCACCACGTACAGCCCTAAAAAGGTAAAGCCCACGTTGATGGCGCCCAGGATGAGCTGCGTCCGGATCGGGTCGTCGATACCGGCCGACTCAAAGATGGTGGCGCCATAGTAGAAGAAGTAGTTCACTCCGGTCCACTGCTGGAGGAAATGGATGGATACCCCCAGCGCGGTGCGGTACACCTGCTTGGGGACGCCGTTCTTCTTGGGGACAAAGCATTCCTTCCATGTCCCAACACCCGCAGCACGCTCCCGCTCGAGGATCTCCCGCATCTCCCTCAAATCATCCTCCACAAACTGATTGCTCAGATCATGCTTCACACCACGCAACCGGGCGAGCGACATGCGCGCACCGTCCCAATTCGACCTTCCCGCAAGCCACCTCGGTGACTCAGGAACAAACAGCACACCAAGACCCAGCGGCAGGGCGAAGAGAATACCCAAACCAACAACAATGCGCCAGGACGCTGACGAATCCTCGATGCTCCGCACGCCGTAGTTGACGCAATTCGATATGAGGATGCCCAGGGTGATGGCGAGCTGGTACGAGGCGACCGTGGCACCTCGGATCTGGCGCGGGGCGCACTCCGACTGGAACATGGGCACGCCGACCGACAGGTTGCCGATGCCCAGCCCTGCGACGAACCGCCCCATCATCAGGTGCACCCAGTGGTTGGTGGCGGTGAGTTGGATGATGACGCCGATTATGAAGATGAGCACGCCCAGGCTTAGGGACTTGCGACGGCCGAGCCAGTCGGCGGTGCTTGGGGGGGTGAGATGTTAGTACAGAGGTTCAGTAAAGGGGCAGGGGGTGCAGGCTTACTAGGATGAAGTAAGAGCTCCGCACAGCGTACCGATGCTCATCAGTGACACTATTAGGGACTCGGTGATGGGCTCAAAGTCCCTCCCCTCTGGCGTGTCGACCTGGCCGAAACGGTTCTTGAAATCCCGGAACAGCAACATGCCCGAGATCTGGCCCGTGTCGTAGCCAAACAAAAACCCTCCTATTGAGGTGCATAGCCCGAGGATGATGGACTCAACGCCACAGTCGGCGCCATTGATGCGGATGGACCTGGAAGGAGTATTGTCAGGGAATGCATGCTCAGCTGTGTTAGGACGATATGCTGGGAACATGGTCACTCACTTCTTCCCGAAGACCATCCTGACAGCTTAGGTATAGTAGTGCACAAGAGATCCAGGTCGTACGTTCGTCTGAGGGTATGGGAACCCGGAGGATTGGTAGATATTGTGGGGTATTTACCAGTAGGTCTTCCCATAATGCGAGTGTAAGTGAATTTATATATCGAACACAGCTTGATACCCCCTGACGCCGTTTTGTGATGACAGCCACTGATGATGTCACGGTTCTTGGGAATAAAGACGTTGGATTCTTTCTCCATTGAGACGGATAGCAGTGGTCAACCAGGAAAGTGGGATTGATGAGCCTTGAGAGCTTGAGAGGTCAGCCGCACCCGCTGCTGGAACCGACGTCGATCAATGCGGCTTGCCAAGACCCTGCACTGTGACGCAATTATGGTGGGAGTTGACTGCTGTGTTGCCCAGAGGAATCCGGGGGTGGGGCTCCTTCGTTTCTGGGCGCCGTCAGCACCAGGGTCACGAGTTGTCTTGACTTTGAAGGATTGGTCATCTCAAAGGTCTGCCATTCTTCTTGTGAGATGCCTGGGTGGTTTCGGTGACGTTTTCCATAGGATGCAAAAGGTCCGGAACTTGTAGACAGAGGTGTCGGGTCATGGGCCCAGGGCAATCCTCTAGGGTTTGAGCTTACCCTATCCCCTGTGCTTCCATTCCACAAAAAGAATCCAAGCCCTAGATGCTCATGATTGAACTCGGACACGGCCATCCAAGCAAGAACAGTGTCATTCCATCCTATAAAAGATGAAGAAGTTGGGCTCCCGCCATTCCAGCCACTCTAGGTTCGCTTTCAGCACGTATTTCGGCGCCTTAGTTTGACCGCGTCTTGGAGACATCACCGACCCCGTTCCTCGTTTCGAGAAAGCACCCAAGAATAGCCAGCACCGCAAACATGGTGAAGCCGGGACCCTGCGGGAACCCGGTCCCAAACTCGGGGTCCGTGCCGGCGGTCCCGGGATACAAAATTGCTGTCAGACCGGCCAACCAGTAGATGGATCCCGTGAAGGCCGCCGTGCGCAAGGAATCCCGTTCGCGCTGCCTAGCGAGCATCGGTGGTGTCGACGACGGCAGAAATGAGGACCGCCAGGTGTAGTACAGCGTGGCGATGCCGAGGATAACTGACAGGGAAATGGTTTGTCCGTTGTGGAATCTGATACAAGATATAAGTATTTCCGAGTCAGTGATTATCTGGGGGCAGAGCCACGGCTCCTTTAAAGAGTGGGCACATACTTTGCGTGCGGGGGCCAGCGCGGGTTGAAGATGTGCGTGTGATTGTAGTCGGCCAGTGGAGCACCAAGGAGCAGGCCGACGGCGTCGAGCGTCAGGAGAATCTTGCCGAGCATGCTGAAAACGTTTCCTACAGCGTAGCTGAGGGAACCGGCAACTTGCCGTAGATTAGGTAGGTACCTAACACAAGTCAGAGACATGATCCAAAACACGGATTCAAGCCAATATGCGGTAAGGTGCTGTACTCTACTTACAGGATCAGGTTACACCTCGAATCCAGACACAACACCGTCGATTGGCACCACAAGGTTAGTAGTTTATGTTAGTTGACGAAGCTCCTCAAGCAACGAATTTATGGCCACTTCGTCTGTCTGTGGACCCATGTCCAACGACAAATGAGCGTGCCGACGGAACGCCCAATGGGGGTTGTCCGTTCATCGACCATCTCAATGGCCCTTGAACGCGACGACTAAAACAAAGCAGAGGTCGGCCAATGGCCATCAGGCCAACTGTAGAGACCCTGGGAACAGCACATCGATATTAAATGCCGCTCGATCTGGGATTCCCATCCTCCTAAGGAGAGGCATATAAGTACTGGAAGTAAAGACAGGCGGTGGTGGTCGAATCTGCCTGCAGTGTGTTCAGGTTGGTTAGCTTCCAGGTTAGGTTGTGACATTAGGGTGGTGTGAGGTGTCCGTGTGCCGTCCTAGGCGGTGGCCTGGGCGTACTGAGCACCTCACTGAACCCTTTCAGGTCCACTCCAGTAAACACCGCCTAGCAGGGCACCGACCCCTCATGGCCAGACCTTTGCCGCCCGCCTCCGCCTCCACCTCCAGAACTCTAGTGGCAGACACCTCACCTCACCTCGGCCCTGACCAGCCCAGGACGCTGCGCTGCCAACAAATCACTCGACTCCGACTCCCGCAAGCTCTTCGCTTCCATTTCCCTCACAAATCCTTTCCTAAATTTGAGCTCTTTGTCCCATCAAGACGTCTATTCATTATCATCTCTTGTCTCCATCTTAGTCCCGCCGACTTCCAGTGTCCGATTCTTTTTTCCCAAATCCAGGGGTGGATGCTCATCGATGGACCTCGGCATTCATACGATTCCGATCGATCGTATACTGACAGACAGACGCTTCCCGCCGATGGACAACGCGATCAATTTGCTTTCACATCCATCGAAATGCAAGAGCATTGTGCAGTGCAGTACAGCACAGAACAGAACAGCACTCTCCTGTCGCGGTAGTATGTACCCCGCCATGCCATGCCATCATGATCCAGACGGAATGCTAACTTTGTTCCATTCTCAGCACCAGACATGATCCAAAGTAGGGCAGTCACCAAGTCCGCCTTGGCTCCCTAGGACCAACTTTTAGGGGCTACTCTGGCCCGCTTCTAGTGTGGCTGGCTCTCTGCTGTCAGGGCGCTAGAACCCCCGGGCCACAATTGCAGTGAATGCACACTGCAGCACCCATCCGATCATTTGGGGGGGGGTGTGTGGAGGGCTTCAATACCGTCTTCCTTCGCCGTCCAAAGCACATCAAGGAAAGGACCATTGTATTTCCGTTTCGACATTGTCGCATGGCAATGGCAAAAGCAATCCCGGACACAAATCGCTATACGACACTGGTTCACACGGATGCTTCACAGTTGCTCTTTCTGGCTCCCGGGCGGCTCAACTATGCCAGAAAACCAACTCCATCAGGCGGGCTGGCTTCAGGCAACATCTCCGAGGAAACGAGGAATCGCTGACCACCACGACACTTCCCGCCACCACACCTCCCAGGGCAGATGGAGTCAACATATCGAGCTGGGCCGCCATCACCCCCTCTTTCTCATTTCCATACCTACCGGTCTTCCTCGCCTACGATGAACAGCTTCACAGATACGATACTGGCACGATTCACTGAAGTCAGCAACCAACCGGCCGAGCGACAGACCCAAGATCTACCGGGGAGACATCGCCATGTCACACAGAAATCACGACACATGGTGCACGACAAGCCTGGTAAGTACTGATACGGGAAGCCGTTCTCCTATTCCCTAATGTCTTTTTGTCTCTCACTCAGAGCACTTTCTCTTTCTCGCACCCTCCACGTCCGTCCGTCCGGTCACTTCCGATATTTCCCCGCCGGTCTCAATAGCAAAAGTCCAGTCCATGCATGCCATCCGCCAACTCGTTGGTGGCAAATGGCAAGGGGCAAGCAGGACTGCCTTGCCGGCAGCAGGAGATCTCGAAACGCGCCAGAGCAAAAGAAGAAAAAAAAGGAAGACCGAATCCCCTGATCAACGAGCCACTGAGGTTGGACTGGGAGCGAGCGATCAAAGTGGATCGCAAATGCCAGGTCCATGGTCAATCAATCGCGATGCAGAGCGTCGCGATCCCCATCAGTCCCAGCTCGTCGCATCTCCTCAGAGTCCCTTCCTCGAAGCTGCCCGCCTCCTCGCCTAGTAGGCACCAACTCGGTCGTACAGCTGAGGTATGCCAAAGCCATGCCGAAAATGCAGATGCAGATTGCAATGCAATGCATGATGAGGTGCGGCCACTCCAGTTTCGTTTTCCTCAGGTCCCGTTCCGTCTTTTTGGTTTGAGGTCCCCCATCTTTCCCCTGATCATCCATGATATGGTAAACGCCCAGCCAGGCAGTTGCCCAAAGGGCATAGCCGCAAGGTCGCAGGCCACGCCAGTTCTCAGCCCCGATACCCGAGATTGTTTAATGTTACACACACTATTCCTACAAGTTGAAAAGAAGCGGGGAGAAACGAAATCCCTGCTGAGGCCCGGCAAAGTGTGGCGGTGGTAATGACTGCCACGAGATAAGTGCCCGTCGGCGAAGCAGAATGATGCAGGGATGCCTAAGGAGACGAGAAGCCAACCCGGCTACGACCATGGATCGAGCCGAGGCAAGGAGCATTTTGGACTCTTCGAGCTGAAGCTCAACAGTCTCATCCCTCCTTTAGGGCGAGCTCTGTACCTATTCTTCTTCAGAGCTCACCTCGTCCTCGCTCTCATGCTCAGGCTGCGTGGCGGCGTCGTTGCCGTTGCCCTCGATGGACTCCATTGGCTCCTGGCTGCCGGAGCCTTGGCGACCGGGGCCGGCCTGAGCTCTCAGCTCGTTCAGCTGCTGGATCCGTCGTTCCTGCTCAAGCTTGCTCATCGGTTTGTTCTTCTTCGATTTGGATGTGGTACTGGACTTTGCAGCCGGTGGGTCAGACGATGGAGGGTTAAGAGCCGCAAGTGCCTTCTCCTTCTCGGCGCGGAGCTTAGGGAAGGCCTTGGCGACAATGTCGTAGAGCTTGACGAGAGCATCCTCCGAGAGAATCTCGATATCTAGCTCCAACTCGCCAGAGTCGTTCTCACCCGCGCCAGTGTCCTTCTTGATAATATCAATGGCCCTCTCAAGATGGGGTGAGTTAAGATCGCTCAGTTTCTCGGCGATCATCTCCTTCTCCAGCGGACCTATCGTCCTTTTAGGAGCAGCCTTCTTAGTACTGCTCTTCTTAGGAGCTCCCGCGGCACCAGCAACAGAAGCTTTCTTTCCAGCATTGGCTGCGCCGCCACCAGATTTCTTAGACTTGGAGGACTTTGATTTCCCGGGCTTCTTAGCTGGTAGAGCCGTCAACTTGGCTCTCTCCTGCATGAGCTGCACCTGAAGCATGGCGACTACTGATTGCGCAATCTCGACGTCGGCAACCTCTGCTGTTCCGGAGAGGACCATGTCATTAATCTTCTTCTGCTCCTCCCCGAGCCGCTTTTGGATCGTAGCCAAGCGGTGCTGCAACGCCTTGCGCTCTTCATCCTGCTCAGGCTCAGCGTCCGAATCAGCGTCCTCATCGTCCGATTCCTCCTTCAAATGCGGGCTAGCCGCGGTTTGGGCAGCTGGGGCGTGCTTCGCCATCCACTCATCCTTCTTTGCCATCTCAGCCCGAAACAGGTTCTGTAGCTTCAATGCCTGGTCGTAGACGATGTGGTCTTCGCCGTTGAAGGTCCTGCAGTTCTTTATGATGAGATCAAAATCTTTCTCAAACTCCTTGACATTCGTGTACTCGCCCGCGCTCATCTTGTTGGCCATCGTCTGGAGGTCCATCGGCTTTTTTATCACCTTATGATATGACGGAATGTTCAGAGCGACGGGATCGACCGGTTGCGTGAAAGCAGCATTGATGTCGTAGTGCTTCTGCTTCCTGAGCTCGGTGAGCACCTCATCGCAGAAGCGAAGCTCAAGAGGCAACTTCTTCTTCCGCTTGGTATCGTAGACCAGGTCCTTGGGGTGCACGGGCTTCACTGGCCGCTTCGCGCGGCTGTCAGGTTTGCTAGAGTCCCGCCGAATCAGCGGCACTCCATTGTTGTTCGCCGGTATGGCAAACGCGGGGGATTCCACAGCCAGCTTCTGGGGCGGGCTGGAGGCGGCGCCCTTTGAGGGCCGACGAGGCACCGCCGAGGCAGTGGGTGTCGCGGCCGACCGAGGCTCGACATGCCGAGTCGTGTGCTGTTTGACAGACTCCTTCTTTTCCGGCTTGGCAGGCTCAACCGCTGGGTACATTCCCATTCTGGTGATGATGGCTTCCCGGCACGCTTTCGCAGAACTTGTCACCTCGTGAACCTCGCCATTGAAAGTAATCGAGTTCTGCACAAGGAGGTCGAGATCGCGCTTGAAATCACCAAGGGTCGCGTACCCAGGTTCGTCGCCACGTAATCGCTTCTCCATTGAGGAAATATCGATTGGGTTGGCAACCCTCGCCGAATACTCTTGCCACAGGCCCGGCCAGAGTTGTTCGACAGGCAATCGGAAATTTGCTCCTGCTTTCGTCTTTTTGACCCCTGCAAGTACCTGTCGGATTTGCTTGTTCTGCCACTCCGTCATCGGGTTGTTGTTGAGTGTTTCGTCGTTGAGAAGCTTCGGCTCTCCGTTGTCGTGATACAGGGATGCCAAGCCCGTTCCAGCCTCCTGGTCCACATTCATGCGGTCCTGAGACGGGCCAGTCTTAACCTCCACCTCATCTTCTGTGTGTCCGACCTTCGTCCGCTTCGCGACCGGTTCGTCCTCACTATCAGTATCTCGCTCACGTGAAACCTTGGCAGACGGTTGGGCGTCCCCCGACATGCTCGTAGCAGCAGTGGCAGGCGCAGGAGGAGTAAGTGTAGGCGAGGCGATCGTGCCCGGCAATGCGTCAATGGTGGAGTTTATTGCATCCCCGGACGGGGTGGCAGGAACATCGTTCAGTACCGTCTGCTGGGTGCTGTCTGCGGCATCTGCGGTAGCCGAAGGTTCGGCGCGCTCCTGCGCGTCCTGCATTTCCACGTCTTTCTTGTCGCCGCGGAATGAAGAGTCGGGGTTGTGGAAGGAAGAGTCGGCCGCCGGTTCCTGCTCAGTTTCATTCGCTGGCGCAATCTGGTCGGATGTTTGGACAGGCGACTCGTGCTCGTCTTTCGGTTGAACTTCGGACTCCGTTTGGGGCTGCAACTTCGGCGTTGTCTGCTCCGCTGCTTTCTTGTCTGGCTCTGAATCAACGGGCGCATCAGGCATGTCGGTATCCGCTGGCCCAACCACAACTTCCATTTCCAACGTCGGATCACCGGCGGGGTCTTGCGCCAAGTTGGCGCTCTTATCCGTCAACTGATTGCCGTCTTTTGCTTCGTCCGTCAGAGCTTTGTTTGCGGAAAAAGCATCTTGGTTTTGGATGATTTTGTCGCTAACGGCAGCATCAGGTGTGTCGGCGCTGGGCTTCAATGGGCGCTCAGAATCGCTTTCGGGGTGAGGAGAAGTGTGGCTATAGCGAAACAGCGCGTAAGCAGACCAATGCGACAATGACTCAGCTCAAATAAGAATAGGAAAAAAGTCTGGACCTACCCATTCACCTCCAAGGTGCCATTTCGGCTGTCCTTCTCTAATGGCAGTGTGGGATGGAGGAGCATCTCGTTGAGAAGCGCGCCTTCCGATTGCTGGGTGGTCATGACTGCCATTCGGGTGAATCGCAATTCAGGTGCGACGCGACATCAAATCGGCTGAAGCAGCATCAAATAGAATTAGCGCTGCATCCCAAGACCAAAAGACTGGACGAGCGAAGCGCGGCGCAAAAACTGGCTGATCACGAATTCCGAGTCGCAGATAAACTGACGACGGAGGCACGTAATATGTCGCGCTGTGGCTGCGAAATGCGGCGCAGTACTAATGACGGCGGCGAAGGTGGCGACAGTGACACGGGGCAAGAATGGCTGGAAAGGTCGGAGGCGAATGGGCTCTTGAGTTGGGTGGTGGAAAAGTGGAAATGCGAAAGGGCGAGGGGACGTGCGCACGCGTGGTCGCGCGAAAACGACGGGAGTCGGAATGAAAAGGGGAGATTGGGAAAAAAGCAACCACTCACAGCTTCGCGGAAAACAGCGCCGGGGGGAAGGCTGAAAATTATAGATTTTGACGGCCAGCCTCGCGAGTTTGCGATGTTCGGGAAAGGAAAAACTCGGGCGGAAGAGCGCGAACGGGAATTTGTGGTGGCTGGGCGGGTCCGAGGGCAGGTGAGGTGGACCGAGCACCGAGAAAACGGTGCTGGATCTCGAAAAAAAGTGTCGGTTGCTGGCGAGGCCTGACGCGCTTGAATGCTTCGCTTGGATTGGCTGGGGTTGGTCACCAGGTGGGGTTGGGGCGACTTTGTTTTGTACCGTGACCTCTTTTTTGAGAATTTCTGGGTTGAAAACGCATGTCAGTCCCGGTCGGCAGCTCGTGGGTATTTATCACAGCTGCCCAGCTCCAGCGCACACCCAGTGGCTCCGCCTCTGAGTGGTTCACTGGGCTTATCGGAGCTGCTTGGAGCCGTCTGATTGGCTACAGACTGACTGTGTGGACCGTGCGCGAGCCACACAGGAGCATAAAGTGTCCCCTAGAAGTAGCTTCGTACCTATCTCCTATGTATGGCGTGCATTTCTCTTCTAGTGCCTCAAACCCATGAATGGCGATTTTGATGGCAGGTTGAGAGCCCAAGTAGGCGGTTCGCCAGTTCCTAGTCCAAATGGAAGAAGAGCAGGGCTCGGTAGTTGCGACCCGGATTGAAAGCCCACCTGCTGAAGAGAGGGGAAGATCGCCGGATGCGACGCGCAACGTGCGGCGACTTGCTTTATGTGACTACCTTACACAAAGAGAAAGCGAGCTTGACTCGCCAAAAGTGCGCGCAAAAGATATGATAATGGCGCCTCCAGCTCTCCGGTATAACTCACATTTCAAGCTTAGGAGTTAGGACCAGCTTGCGAAAATATGCTTTCAAGATGTAAGGTACGTTGACTGAGACTCGACGCAGTGACTTGGAGTTACTTTAGGTTGCTGCCTGACAGCTGCACTATGTGATCTCGAAGCAACGGCAGGAGGTACCGGCAAGGTTGCTTCCTGAAACAAATGCTGTTAGCTCGCAGACCACAGCTGAGATCGTTGTATAGGCACGCGAGAATGACGCGAGGATGCCGCTGCAGTCAAAGCTAAAATTTTAAATTAAATCACTAACATGGCTGCGAGGTGCCGCGTCGCATCTTTTGGACGTGTCGCGTCGTGGGCGGCATCAACAGCATCAACGTACTGTAATCACACTGTAGAACGCCTGCATGTACATATGAATTCAAGAGCTGTTTTCCTCTCACCTTGATGAGATGCAACCAGTTAGCGTTACTTTGTGCTCGAGGACTCCATCGTTCCTTAACTTTATCCTAGGACAAGCTTTTGAAATCTGCTCTCCGCTCAAAACGCTGCAGGCGCGATGTTGCTAACGAATTTCCAGATTGCGGCCGTGTGAGACCCACTCGCCCTCCCCAGGGAGGTAGCTTTCCGGCGCCGAGAACGACGGAAGGCAGCACACGGCACACACTGCAGAGTTACGCTTGCCCAATCACACGAATTCCCTGGGCTGCGGTCCAGGAAGGCATGCGGTCAATGACTGATGATCAATCAGCTGTTGGAGAGTGCCCAAATCTGTCCACGTGCCCAGCTTAATGCCTCAGGCCAGACACGCCAAGAAATGTATGACTCAGCATCCCGATGGCGGTGGCTGTCACGTGAGTGCAGGTACGCACGGACTCATCAGGCGCATTCATTGGCGCACGAGCCATCTCAGATAAGGAGATAGGAGGCTGCTCTGCCAAGACGAACCCTTAGCATCAAAAAAGTTTTGGCTACCCGAAATTTCTGCTCTACTTGCTCGATTCTGCGACAGTGACTGCATTTCCTGTTGCATCCTCTAGACCTTGAAGAATCTCCTTGGTAGACAACGACGAGGATATCATAGAGCGCAAGTCCTTTGCAACTGGTGCTCCGCCAGAGAAAATCTGCGACTCGTGGCTTCAGCAACACCGCGTCCCTCGTGAAGCTGCTCACGCGATTGAGCTTCGACCCAGGTCGTGAGGATGCCGACCAAACGGAAATCTACAGCCGCAATCGCAACGCCTGTAGTAAGGCAAAGCGCAAAGAACCAATCAAAGACCAGAATCGACGAGAGCAGGACAGCAGTATCGACTGGAACATCCTTGAGTTCAGCGTCAAAGTCATCGGCGGAAGCCATCGATCGAGCGAGTGATTCGAGCCAATACGAGTCATCTGACAATGAGGAGGGAGCAAGCGAAGGAGATGAGGAGCCCGTGGAGAAAACCAACGTCCTGCCCGAAAACGCCAAGCAAAGAGACAACCACGATGCCGCAGATGCCGACACGGTAATGCAAGAGGGAGGCGACGGCTCGGATGCCGAGCTCGCATCTCCGACTTTTGGTGATCTTGTTCGAAGCAACTCAACAATTGACGTCCCCGCTTCGCTCGCGGCGCAAGCGGCAACCCAGGCTTCACGGCTGGCAGTACAACAACGCCCGACAGCTCCAATCACCGCTACTTCGCTCGGCACGGTCCTCAACCAAGCTCTCCGCACCGACGATGCCGACCTCCTCGAGTCATGCCTGCAAACTAGCGATGTCAAGATAATAGAAAACACAATCAACCGCATGGACTCGTCGCTTGCCGGCACTCTCCTCTCCAAGCTCTCTGCTCGCATGCACCGGCGGCCGGGCCGGGCCTTTGGGCTTATGAGGTGGATGCAGTGGACTCTGGTGGCGCACGGTGGCGCGCTCGTCACACAGCCTGACCTCATTGCGCGGTTAGGCGAGCTCAACCGCGTCTTGGAGGAGCGGGCACGCGGTCTGCCGAGTCTATTGGCTCTCAAGGGGAAGCTGGACATGCTGGATTCGCAAATGAGGTTTCGGAAATCGATCAAGGCGGCCGGGGCAGGCCGGAGCCGGGATGGGGAGGGGGAAGAATCCAGCGAGGAGGAGAAAGACGGGGATGTACCGGGTGTCGTGTACGTCGAGGGCCAGGAGAAGTTGCCGGGCAAAGCCCTCACCAACGGGACTGTAAAGGGAGCTGCTGTGGAGGACCAGGACGATTTCCCGGCCGGGACGGGCGTCATTTCTGAGTCTGAAGAAGAATCAGATGAAGAGTTTGAGGATGATGATGTGGAGGAGGAGCTTGCGGAGGACGAGTCACTGGATGAAGACGAGGTTGATCATGACGACGTTGAAGATGAAGAGGAGGAGAGCGAAGGCGAGGACTCTCGGCCACCGGCAAAAGTCCGGAGAGTGTCAGAGAGGCCCTCGCGAAGGAAGTAACTTTTGATAGACTGGCGATCTCGGTGTATCTCGGGGTGCCAGCCATGTATGAGCTGCTGTATAGACGGCAGGGCCCTGAATGCTAGTGCACATTATCCTGGTCCATGGGGTGATGTGCCGTTACCTATCTGCTGAGACTCGGTCCCTGTTCTGGCCACTATGTGCTGGTCTTGAAGCGCAATCTGCTGCCAGTGGCTAAGCCTTAGAGATTCTAGTTTGGCCCTCCTGCGTCGCAGGCTCTTTACCTCATACCTCTAGACCGATTAGCTGGGAAGAAAGGCTTATGCTTGGTCTGCCTACATTCTCTGTGAGGTGTGATGATTGCTAATGAAAGATTTATCGACTTACTTTCTGAAGCGGCAACATGTTCTCTAGACGTTTTTACATCTGTCCCAACTCCTACCGTTCACGAGGTTGTTCGTGCACCCAACGCTCAGTTTTTTATCTCCCAGAGATCCATCAACCACACCTGGTTTAGTTTGACAAGGAAAAGAGAGTGTAAGGTAAACTGGGATCGATGATGCTGACCCTTGTAATAAGTTGCGAATTCCTGTGGACTGAACTTCAACCGCAACAACACAACCTCCTTACCCGCTGAGTCAGGGACGGAAGTGCCTAGCTTGCTGTTATTGATTCAAGACCGTATCGCGATAGACTATAAGAGTGTTTTCTGCGTCCTCGTGAAGGTACTAGTATATTTGTAAACACCAACAATTTGGGTCTCTCAGATAGTTGCTATGTGAGTAGCTCAATGTTCTTACATATTCCCGATATGGCGCCATCCTCTGCAACCCGTACTCTATCGTCAAGCAGCCGTCCTTCAAGCTTGCAAGATGAATGATTTTGACCATCTACCAACGTCTCTACACTAGTACCAACAGGCAGGAAAGGTCTCCAACTGTGGCAGTTCAAGAAGGGGAGAACTTGCCAGACTCGGAGGCTCCATCACGGTAGCTCAAGTAAGGTAGGGTTTTATTTAACAAGCTAAGGTAGGTAGGTATGTTTAAACTTCAGTATTCTGGGCCCTACCAGCCAGTACCTAAACCTGCTATTAACTATTCGTATGTAACGTAGTACATGTAGGCACAAGACTACTACATATGAGTACGAGTAGCCCAGTTTCAGGAACTACGTCCTCCTATGAACTTAATGTAGCTATCGCCTCCAGCTCCACGTGCCGGGTGTGACGGGTCTTAGCCTACACCACAAGCTTAGGCTGTTCCGGGATAATATCATGGTACACTACGCCATGCCGCTGTGAGACTGAATAAGTGGTGCGGGGCATCGTTAGCAGGTCTAACTTATAGAGAAATCAAAGCCTGCGGCGGTCTTCTAATTCTTTCCCGTACCATGGACGAACGCCAACGCTGATTCCAGTGATCCGAGGCCTTGTGAGGGTAGAGTACCCCAACTCCCGAAAGAGATCACTTTATCTCAACCCTAGAACCCGTTAGGCGCAATGAGGCTGTTCAAAGCGAGTCTCATCTATTCTGTGCTGCTATGGTCGGGCTCTTCTATTGGACGTGTAAGTGCCAGACCCCCTTACGTCAACCACCAGACCAAAGTTGACCGCCAGCTAACTTACAAGCTTCAGCCGCTACAGCTGCTAGCCTCTCCATGCGACGAACTCGAGGCTATCATGACGGACTATGGGACGCTGGAGGGAACGCTACAGGGAGCCATGATCCTCCTCCGCTGGGACACGACACAGGCTGGAAGGGTGGCGAGGCAGCTGCTTACACTCCTCGACGAGGCGACGCTGAATATCCAGGCTCTTTACGGATCCATTCCGACTTGCAGCCCAGCTGAGACCCTCAACCCGCGTCAGAACACCGAAATATGCGAGGCGCTGAGCAAAGTGTCTGCGGATGTGGCCCAGCTAGCGACTCTGATGGATGAGTTTGCCGCTTCCCCGGATCTGCCACGCAACCTGTATATCGAGGCACTGCAGGAGGCTGCTGATGATGCGGAGGTGAAGATTTTGGGTGTGCAGGCTGCGTTGAAGGCGTCGGATGGGTGTACATAATTGAGGACATGTACGGAGTATCTACCACATTACTAATTGCATCTAGGTAAGGTATGTGGTCAAACTGGAAGCTCAGGGGCACCTACACTACCTCAAGATTACCAACATTCCACATGGCAGGTCCAGTAACTCTCTCCCCTGAATCTCCCCCTTTGTCCTTCCCATCCAGTCCGCTACGCACTTACACAGCATCCATTCCCGACCTACTCAAGTACTAGTAGTACTCAAATAACCCCCCCTCCTCAAATACCCCTCCACAACCATCAGATCCTCCTCCCTAAGCGCAACCAGCACCTCCCAATCTGCCTCCGAATTCTCACCCCCGCCTCCCCTCCGGGGCATGACACTCACCGCCCCATCAAACGGCACATACGCCCTTCTTACCCACGCAGGCTTGGTCCTACCCCCCGGCACGCCGGGAATATCAAACTCGACATCAGCCCCCAGCTCAACCCCAACCGTCACATCCACTCCCGTCGTGTGCCGCGAGATGGTCCGGCGGATGGCCTCATCCACGTCCGTCCAGCTCAGGGTGGTGTCATTCGGGTCGGTAGCGCGTGCAGCGAGGGCAATGGCTCGCTCGAGAATCTTTTCTTTCGGATTGCCAAGTTTGTCGATGGCTTTACGGATCATCCGCGCCACCTGGGCGAGTTGACGTGTTGTTGCGGGTGCGTTGATGTCGTATACGCCCTCGCCGCCGCCGTTTTCGAGTTCCCAGACGGTTGTTTTGGTAAGGGCCCGAAGCCACATGTTGCCTATATAGTCCTTGCTGATGGGCGGGACGAGGCTCAGCTTCTTGCGGATGTTGACGGCGGTTGAGAAGCAGGTCGTTTCGTATGGAGATATGCGTCCGGCCCGGAGGCGCGCGCGGGTGATGTACAGCCAGGCCAGGGCGCAGATTATGTCTGAGGGGGAAACAAAGGCCTTCGGATCGTGCTCGTTTCTAAGGTGCTGGAGAATCTTGTCGCGGGTTTTGTTCAAGGAGGATGCTGGGAGGATGAAGATCTTGGCTTTGGCGTCCAGAAGGGGTGGGGTTTCTTCTTCATGATCGGTCTCTTCATGATCGGTCTCTTCATGATCGGTTTCTTCATGATCGGTTGATTCATGATCCGTTCCTTCATGGTCTGTGTCTTCGTCATGATCGGGATCTTCATGGTCGGTTTCATCATCCTTGGTTTCCTCATGGTCGGTTTCTTCATGATCCGTTCCTTCATGGTCTGTGTCTTCATTATGATCGGTTTCTTCATCATGACCGGTTTCATTATTATGATCGGTTTCTTCGTTATGATCGGTTTCTTCTTCATCCTCGGTCTCCTCATCACGATCGGTTTCTTCATCATCCTCAGTCTCTTCCGAGTCATCATCCTTGAAGTCGTAGCCGCTGGCGGACTTGAGATCCTCCGTCAAGAGATCAGGAGCAGCCTGTTTAGCAAACTCTATGAATCTCTCCTGGTCTCCCCGTAGATTTTTTAAGATTTCAGTAGAATCCTTGCTGGAGTCAGCGAAGTACTCGAGAAATTCGAGAGTTCCATAGCCATCCATGATGCCATGAAAAAAGGAAAAGCCCAGAATAAGACCACCCTCAATGAAAGAAACCCTCAGTGTAACAGGGTGCCATCCATCCCCTGGCTCGGGGTCCGACTGTGGCAGCAGCCAGAACTTGTCCTTTTCCATCATCTTCGCGGATGGCCCAACCGTTGAGTAGTACTGGTCGAAAGGCGGGAACTCCAAGCGGTCGAAAACCCGGGAGTCGAATACCTCTTCGGGGAAGCGCTCTAGATTGGGCTTGGTGCGCTCGTAGACCAACTTGGGAAGTTCACCCCCTTTTGGCCGGACGCCCTGACCAGCCAGGAACGGGAACAGTTTGAACACGGAGCTCAAACGAGTCTTGCAATATTCCACAGTCAGATCTCTGTGTGCCTGGTCATTCCAGTCTGGAAAGGGAAATCCAAGGCAACGCATGATGTAGTTTTGCGGCGACGTGTAGTCCAGAGGTGTCAGGGGAATTTGCTCGGTGAGTTCAGCCACCCAAGCCTGCTTCTCTGAAGTAGAGTATATGGTGTATGCCATTGTTGCAACGGCCGTATGGTGTGGAACAAGCTCTGTTGCTACTGCTCTGATCCGAGAATGATGGGGAAGAAGAGAGATGACCAGAGAGGCCCTTGAAAGCAAGCCTACCTATATAGGCTTGCCCGGCTATGGTGGTGAGGGTGTTTGCCCTGACATAGAGGACAAAGGAGCTCTAAGGCCCAAAGAGCTCCACCAACGTGTAGTGACATGCCGACTGGAATGGCAATTTTCGATGGGTACAAGTTGAATAAGAGGTAGGCACGGGCGAGTTTTCGATAACCCTCCTACTGGAGAAATCTAGGTACCTATCACTGTTAGCGGTGTATACCGGGTATCCAGGAGCCGGGACATATTCGCTCACGCCTTTAGGCCATCTTGGTCTAGCTTTATCTCAGTACTGAGACCTTTTTCATTCGGCGTCCTATATTTTACGCCTACGGCGCAGAAGTAGGGGCCTTCGGCCCCAGGCCTATACGGTCGGGGACGCTAGCGTAGCCGATT